CCCCTACTGCAACGGCCCCCTAAATACAGCCCACCTTATGGCTTTTAACAAGCATCACAAAACACTGTCTTTAACAAAGGACATGGGCACTTCCAACTTGTAAATATCCCCTCCCAGAAAAAAAAAAAAAAAGTTTTTCTGGGCACAAGAAACAACTCTGCCCCTTCCCCAACCTCCCTTCAGGGAAAAGGGAGACTCAAAGGGCCTCCCACCCCTCCCCAGAGTCGAGACTCCATTAACACTCCAAGGAGACACAGCACTCAAACCTTCGCCCACTGCTACAAATGCCACGGCACAGCCTGGGAGGGGGGTCTAATTTCCATTCCTTTCAAAATACATTTGGCTTCAAGAGCAAAGGAGGAGGAAGACTTGTGATGGACACTCGACTTTTATTAAGAGAAAATACCAACCACGATGATACATGGCCTCCTCRTCCCCGTGCATCAGTTACAAAACTCATCTTCCAAACGCTGAATGAAAACCCTATGGAAGAGCCTAACCAGCTCCCGTCCAACTGAGGAGAGATCAGTCCCTTCTTGATTTACGACAAATAAAAAAAAAAAAACCCMAAGGATAAACACATTTCAGTAATAATCATTACCATGAAGATGGAATTTAAAACATCAAATTATACTTTTCCTCTTTTCAAATCACTCTCAACTTTATTAGCTGTCAAGGAAAATAGAATTTTGAAAAAGTAATGAGCAGAAAATGTAATACAACTGGAAATTAGGTTGYAAATGTGTTTCCTGTTCCTATCAGAATCGACAGACAACTGGAAAGGGTCAACACGCCACAACTCCACCTGCGACCCATAAGAGTTCTCATTGATCATACGCAGGGTTCGGGGTCAAGCCTTTTACCTCCACTCCCTTTAATCAGCTCTATCTGGCGGACGGTGATCACTGACATTTTTCAGAAGATGGGGCTGTTCAGTGTTGGAAATTTGTCAAAGCTGACAGCAGCAAGTAACAGAGTCAATAGTTCTACAGATTATAAGTCATCTCAAAACCTTAGAAATAAAGCATCTGTCAGCCAGGCATTGTGGCCCACTCCTGTAATCCAAGGGACTCAGGAGGATGAGACAGGAGGATCACACGTTGGAGGCCAGTCTCAGCAATAGTGAGATCCTGCCTTTAAAAAAAAAAAAAAAGTGTAGCCAATTGTCTATTTAACAGAATCAAGCTTTGAAATGATATTTTTTAAAAGTTGGGACGTGAGTGGAAAAAACTRCTTCCAGAAATAATGTTTTTTTTAAACAAAAGTCTTCCTTGTCTGAAAACCCCTGGGCAACTACAATTTGAATTTCAACCACTTCCATTATTTCCTCAAATTTGCTGCAGTCCTCTGCCTTTCCTGTGGTTTGAGACTGGAAGTGGTGTTTTCTTTCATCTGAGAGTCCCTGGCAAAGCTGACAGCGACCTCTAGTGGACATTTTCTCAAAACCGCTTCACTCTTCCTTTTCCTCCAGGCCCAGCTGATGGCCCTGGTTTTGGGAAAACACAGACACACACACAGACACACACACACACASACACACACACACCATGAACCAAAGATCCAGTGCCTGAAGCGCTACTGGGCTCCTTGGCAGCTGCCACAGAAAAAAGACCAACACTTCACTCCTGGGTTACTCAAAGTGTGGCTCTCTAGCAAGGGCAACCCATCACTTGTGGAGTGTTGCAATACCCTAGGACCACAGCATCAGGACCTGCAAGGTAGCAAAATCAGGTGGCTCCAATGCACATTAAGGTAACAACTCCCTACATGAAAATTGTTTATATTTGATGATATACACAGAAGATTGAGCATGACTTACCAAATTAATCTCCTTTTAGTAGAAATACCAAAATTCACTAAAGGGTTCTTGCCAGCTATTTCAATTCAAGTATTTAGAGACTAATCACATAATCTGACCACATGGCCTTTCCTCACACAACCTCGAAAACTCTGAAAATGTTGTAGAAATCCTGGCTCCATGGGGTGGTACTTTCCAATGTGTTAYCACCAGATGATTAAGTAGGAAATGAGACCAGGGATGTATGGGATATCTCATCTCTTGGGCAGGGCCAAAAATTAAGATGTGGGTGAAAAGGCATTCTAGGGGAGACCCAGGACAGTGTATGGGACTTGGGGAGCCCTATATGCCACAAACAGCCCAGGAGTTAGAGTCAATGAGTCTCAAGGTTAGACKTGAGCCCCAACTGGCAATGATGATCATGATCTCCAGCCTCCAAACCTCAGCTCACCTGTGGGTTGCGTGCTCAATCCCCGAGCCTCCATCTCCTCACCTGAGGAATGGAGTTAAGAATTAAATGAGATGCTACGYGTGAAGCACTTCGCCCAGTTTTCCTGGCACAAAATAGGGCTTGATAAACATCAGCTGAAAGCACCTCTACACAAAGATCTAGCACAGCTGTTCCTAACAGTACCYGAGTAGCATGTGACCAAAGGGGGGGGGTGTTCCTTGTTCACTCATCAATGCTACTGAGCCCTTAAAGCTGCTGTTCTGGGCACCCAGGAAACGAGARGACAGAGTCCCTTTAAATGGCCAAAAGTTAGTAAGGAAACTGACCTTGGAACAGGCACCAACACTGAGAAGCCAGATTAGGAACCAGGGAGAACCTAGGTGCTTAAGGGTCATGGAATCCTCACATTTTAAAACAAACACCAAAATTTAGTACAACTGCACTGGGAAGCAGGGGAAGTCAGTCCTCCCGGAGCTAATACCAGAATCCAGAGAAGCTCAATGAAATCAGGAGTTTCTCGAACTTGGGGCGCTGTCTTGCTGATTTCCCCCAAGTGTGCCCGGTCTCTTGGCCCGGCCAGCCTCCCTAGGTCAAAAGGGACCCCAGGCGAGGGGGACCAGGGCATCCAGCACCGATTAGTGTGCCTTGGAGGCCACAGGTGATGAACAAGGAGCAGTCAACTGCTTCACAAGCATAAACCCAGGGTGCATCGGGTGACTTCTAAGGTCTTGGGCTGCACCTTCTTTCACTTGCTGGCTCTGGCTCGTTCATCATCCCATGTAAGCTACTTCCCACCATTTGCAGAGAGATCAGATTATGACCCTTCTGAGCAACTGCAAGAGAGGTCTGCCGTCGCCAAATAATCCCCTTGTCCCCATCACAACCTGTGCGAGTTCCTCACGCACACCAGTCACCTGCTGGGGCCTGACGGTCCCGTCACCCCACTGTAACCCCACACGCCTGTCGCGTGATGAGCTCCAATGCATCCCGCAAGACCCAGTTTAAAGCGACTCCTCCATGAAGCCAACGCCAGAAGGCGTGAGTCGCTGCCGCCTCGGGGTCTCGCCCCAACGCCTGCCGGACAGCTCGGGCGTGGGCAGCACCGCACCGCCGTCCCCTCAGACCAAGGGGCAGCACGGACGGGCGGCGCGGGGTTCTCCCAGGTGAACGCGCAGCTCTGGCCGCAGCCAGGCCGCCGAGTCTCCCCGACCCCACGGGCCGGGAACCTATGCCCGCCTCTCCCGGGAAAGTCGGGGTGTGGAAACCCGCGGCCCCCCTGGGGAATGCGGGCGGCGGAGAACCAGCAGCCGGGACGACTCGGGGAGGGCTGTCCAYACTCGCAGAGACAGACACAAGGAGACAGCCCCTCTCTGAAGCCCACACGCCACCTCTTCCTTACCACGGAAAGACGGCCATCTTCCTAGTCACATGACCGCTCTTCTGGGGCCGCCAGCCCTTTTTCTAGCATTCGGACGCCGCCACGCCCCTCTCGGGCCGCCATGATTGTGAGGGGCAGCTGTTTGCTCCGCCTCCCCAGGCTGCGCCTTCTGATGACGCCAGGATGAGGCGGGGCCGACGCAGCCGAGCGGAGCCCAAAGTTCGGGCTCTCCGCTGCCGCCATGATTGTGAAGGGCACAGGCCACCAAGTAGAGCCCACGATGCTAAGACCAGATCGCGGCTCCTGCTGGCGCCACGATTATGAGGGGTAGAGATGGCTACGTGGAATCCAGGCTGCTTCTCTGTCAACGCCGTTGAAAGGGATAGCTGTCGCTCCAGAGGCCAGGGTGCGCGTTCCTCCAGCGCCATGATTACTCAGGGCATGAGCCGCAGACGCGGTGATCGAGAGGGGCAGGCCCCCGGATTTGGAGTGGCAGCTGGCTGCTCTACTGGGTCATGTCRCCAGCCCACTGTCGCCCTGACGGGGCGGGGCTCGTAGTGCTAGGCGCGAACCACGGCTGCGGATTGCAGCAGAGTCCCCGCGGTCGGCCTGCACCCACCTGGCGGCTGCCCGGTACTTGGGGGAAGCTGGCACTTCAGCACCGCGACCAGGAGCCTCGGCGTTTGAGCGCTGCCGGGAGCCCAGCGACCGACCAACGAGGCAGCTTAGGGCCGCTCCGCCCCCAGGGCGAAGCTGAAGGCGCCGCGCGGGCGGCGGGAACGACCAGCCCACGGCCACCTGGTCTGAACGACCACCATCATCACCTCTTTGGGGGGAACAAGCCCCAACACTGGTGAATTGCTGCAGCTAGGAAGGATCTGAACATCCCAAACCAGAGTAAAGAGGCCCGGGTCGACCCTGGCCGCGCCTGAGCCTCTTCCCATTTATTCTCAGCGTCTTCTGACAGCAAAGGTCCGAGGCCCCCACTCCTCAGATAAATCGGCAGTGGAACCCGCCTGGGCTGGTCTGCGGCTCCTGAGCCCGCGTTTCGGCCTCTGCCAGGAGGCAGCCCCAGGGAAAGGTGGAGGGCGCTTCCTCTCCGCGACGGAGCAGAGCTGGTCCCCTGGAGTGCCACCTCCCCGGCCGTCCAGGCTGGGCCTTGGCATCTCTAATCACTCCCCAGGCGGGCTAGAAAATGGTCACATTCCATACTGTGGTCAGATGCTTTTCTGTCAATAAGAAAACAGATCAAACTAGATTTCCTTTGAGATGAAAAGTTTATTTGCCTTTGCCTAGAAGCAAAACTAGTGAAAATTAAAGTACAAAAATAAATACAATTTACATTAATGGACATTCCACCCAAAGTAAAAAAAAAAAAACAATAAAAATAATATATATAAATAAAACTTCATCAAAAGCACAAAACAGTGCCTGGCACTTTTATGAGAAAAAGCTGTGAACATTAAAAAACTTGGAACACACACACACACACACCTTTATCCCTAAATTAAAACACACTCAAGTTTCTCACCCTCAATGTAAAACTAGTTTTAACTTCCTCCAAAACATACTATTTGTTTTAGCTAATTTGCATTACAATATACACAAAATCTGTAGCATCTAACCAGAGAGACCCACAATGACATGAATTAGCTGTATCCTGAGTTTTCAGAATGAAAAAGCACAGTTTATCATTGAAAAGGTAATTTGATATATTTTGCCTCTAAATACAAAACTGGTAACTTGGACTTTTTTGACTTTCTCATTTTCTGGTTCACTCATTCAATAATAAATAAGTCTCAATAAAGAAAATCAAGTTGACACCCAGTGTGAATTATTTTCTAACTACAGCTGGATGTAAAAGTTAAATCTTAAATGGAACAGAAAAGCTTTATCTCTGTATTTTTAAAATATTAAGACTATGTATAGGCTGTATTTCCAAAATACCACTACCCCATTAAAATTCAAGTTAGAAAAATTAAACATATACAGTTGCAATTTTATGCAAGAAGCACAAAGCCCTTTTTAGAAATTGTGACATTCTCCTTGATACAGCCATTCTCTCTTGGTAACATTTGTTGGTTGGTAGGTGATGAAAAACACTTTAGACATCAGTGCCCTTAGGTAATGCAAGTTTTTAACTAGGCAATGTTACTATCTTATTTTGAAATCCAGAATTAGTGTTATATTATTTAGCCCTTTATTCTCTCCTAAATCAAGCATGCTAGAAAAAGCAGACTATGAAGAAATAAAACAGACTAAATAGAAAACATAACCGCATGCAACATGGTATTCTTATTTTACAGAAATGGATATAACAATGCAACCTTAAATCTACATTCAAGATTGTGCTGCCTTCACCCAATCTGCTCCCCTCTATGCAAAGATCTAGCACAGCTGTTCCTAACAGTACCTGGGTAGCATGTGACTGCCAGGAATGTGTGCTTCTGACCAGGGACCCACAGCTACTACTGCATTGATTTTAGGTGACCACAATCAGAGTGTGGTGAGGGTTTATTCTATGAGGTTATAATGTTTAAGTCCAAGAATATGGCCTCAAGTGCTTTAAGTTACAAAACCAGGGAGAAACATACTTGTGCAATAATTTTCCTTTGAATAGAACAGTATCTAATTTGTTTATCAAATTTAGCAATCAGTATGAAGAGACGAATGAAATTTATGTTTTAGAACTTATTAATTTGTCTTAACTTTTCTTATTTTGTACAAATAAGTCCAAATGTCCTTGTAAAGTTTACAAAAAGGGTCTCCATAGACATCTGGGCACAGAAAATATACTATGTTTCTACAGGTTAAGCACAGAAATGAGGCAATTACTAAACAAATTTGTCTACACCCAATCCTAGGTTAAGAAGAAAATGAGGAGTGGGGCGGGAATTACCAGATAATTGCTCAGCCCTTTGATGTCACTCTGCCTATGTAAACAGAGTCCAGGGTTAAACAGAGAGTCTTGGTCAGGGAAAATAATACAGACAATAACCGTGGCTCCCTTTCTATCCTAATGAATGTTGTCTTCTTAAATTGTCGCAACATTTGGCCGCTTTCTTTGGATTTTTCCTGCATATGCTCCTAAAAAGAGAACAAAACTGATATTACTTCTCAGGGTTAGTTTTCATATGATACCATTTAATGAGTGCTTACTACACTAAGGCACCAGGCCAGGCGACATTCAGCATCATATTTAACCCTTACCAACAGTAACCTTGAGGTAGAAACTGTTTCCACCATTTCAAGGATGGCATGGTACTGAGGCCTGGTGCGGATCATGCCTGAGCCAGCAGAGCTGGAAGGGAAGCTCCTGGAAGCCAACTCCACTGCGTTTGTTATGTGACTTACCCATTTCTCGTGACTACTTTCTACTCTGCTCTCATTAGTGGTTTCGAATTTGTCTACAGACTCTCTAGTCCAGCACAAAACATCAAATGAGGAAATGTTTAAAAACATGGCACCAGAGGCTGAAATCTAGTTTGTGAAAACTAAATAATTTGAAATGCCTGGCAGCATACTTGAACACGCTTTAGAGTCCTCCTTCAGTCTACAGCATGACATTTTACCATCAACACAAAATGAGTTTCCACTCCTTGCTTAAAGGGACCAAATCAGAGCCCAATTTCAAATTTGTTTAAAACATAATCCAAGCCAGGTGTGGTGGCCCATGCCTATAATCACAGGTTCAGAAGGCTGAGGCAGGAGGATCTCGAGTTACAGGCCAGCCTGGGCAACTTAGTGAAACCCTGTCTCAAAATAAAAATATAAAGGGTTAGGGATCTAACTCAGTGATAGAGGATCTCTGGGTCTGATCTCCAGTACTGAGGGAAAAAAACAGAAAAACACCATAATCCAGGCCATATAAATCTGAGCAGGACAGAGTAATTTTTCAAGAGCAAATATGCACTCTTGTGTTCAGATTCATCAATAGTATTTTAATCAGTATGCAAAATTCTCAGTTTATGTAATAAAATTCTTTAGTCTTGTTCAACTGGTTAAACATGTAGTCATATATTGATAAATATTTAGAAAAACAAGTTAATGTACTTTAGATACATATTGTTTAGCCAAAAGTTAATTTCATTTGTTTTTGTTTTTGTTGGGTTTTTTGTTGTTGTTTTTGGTACCAAGGATTGAACCCGGGGGCACTTAACCACTGAGCCACATCCCCAGCCCTTTTAATTTTTTATTTGAAAGAGTCTCACTCAGTTGCTTAGGGCTTTGCTAAGTTGCTGAGGCTGAAGTCATGATCTGAACTCATGATCCTCCTTGCCTCAGCCTCTAGAGCTGCAAAGATTACAGGCATGCACCACCATGCCCAGCTTAATTTCATTTTTATTTATAATTATGCTACATTCTGACATGGTGACCCAAGCCTGAAATCCCAACTATTTGGGAGACTAAAGCAGGAGGATCTCAAGTTTGAGGCCAGCCTGGGCAGTTTAGCAAGACCTGTCTGAAACTACAATTTTAAAAATGGGGGTTAAGAAAGTAGTTAATGGTAGGGTACTTGCTTAGCATGAATGAGGCCCTGGGTTCAAAAACAAAAAAATCATGTTGCCATGTAATTAAATCTAAATAAATATAAATACTGAATTTGATTGTATATTATTAACTGCAATGACTCCTGTTCATCCTTTGTACTGGTGAGTACTACTTAATTGAAATTCTAGTCACTACTCTGCTTATTCACAAGTGACAAATAGTGGAGATGAAATGCATGAGAAAAGAACATGGAAAATAGTCACTGTGGCAAACTGATGATGCGAGTTCCCCAATGACTTTATTTACATAAAGTATAACACTACAACGGAAAAAACTGAAATGTCTTCAAACATCACATAATTTCACCAGCAACAGATCTGGTGTTTGGTCTGAGTTCTTCTAGACCACAGGACTGCCTGCCCCTGGAGGAAGCAGGTCTCCAAGGAGTAATCCCCTTTCTAAAGCAACCCCCTGCTGTTCTTCACAATGTATTCAAAGAGGCCCTTTAAAGTATCCTCTGAATGATACTCACTAAGGATTCAACAATCATTTCAAAGTTTTTATCAAAATTTTGTTGTTTCTTTGAACTTATTTGTTCATATAAGTTCAAAGAAACAACAAAATTTTGTTATTTGTTCATATAAGCTTATAAGAACATGAAACAAATTACTTTTTTGCTTATTCCCTCCTAATCTGCAGGAACTCACTTAGTAACAAAAGCTCTAAAATTTGCCTAATTGTTTATAAGTGGGAAGGTAAGAATTAAAGGTTTAATCTTATCTGCCAGGTGATTAATTTAGCTGTTTTTTAAGTGTTTAGAAAGCAGCATAGTTATAGCACAGCATTTTCAAAGTATTTTTAATGGACCACATAATTTTCAGTGAGCTTAATCAAAGTGTCTAAAAAAATATAAAGCATTTTGTTAGGAGGTTTGGATCAGCTCAACATTGAATTTGTCCTCTTGCCACCATAAAGAGAAATTTAAAAAACAATTTTTAATTTAGCCCTTAAACAGTCCTCGAATAACGAATGAAAGGAGAGCTTTAGCTCAAGCTTCTGACTGAGCAAGATTAAGACACCCTCCCCTCTGGTGTATTCACTGGTGACCCTGTGGTCACAGGGAGAGACTCCTCATCCATCTGTCGTCCCCCCATGCACAGACACAAATGCTGTGGCTGGGGCACTGCTCGAAGCTGAACGCACCTGCACAGACACAGGTGTCGGCTGACTTTATCTTTTACTTATTTGTAAAAGCAGTTTTCTGAATTAAGCCTGGATAATTGTATAAATTATTCAGAATAAAAAAAAATACAATATCTCCCATAGAATTAATATGAAATCAAGGTCAGATTCCCTGACTGTGACCAAATACTGGCAGGAAGGGACGCTGACAGTGACGTCTATGCCCAGGTTATGGTGGCAAGGGAAGACAATACATCCCACGGGGGGCCGGGCCAGGCAGCTCGTGCACTTGCTTCTGGCGAACGGGCTTCAGAGTTCTACACACCTGACACGGCAGCTCTGCTAGGCACTCTGCTCTGGGAAGGCTTCTGTCTATTTTGCACAACCCCCTTCACTGATGTCTTAGGGGTTCTAATTGAATATAAAAACATCCATAAGTCACTTGCATTAAGGTCTAAATGTTCAAAATTCAAAGAAAGCAACCACGCTGCATCACCCGTTCAAAGTACAAACATGCTTGGAAAGAACTGAAGTCTCCTGCGTGTGCAGAACGAGGGAAGCCACAGCTTTGCCTCAGCAGGAGACGATAACCAGGGCTCGTACCTTGTTGGAGAGTCACTCCAGTGATACTAAGCTTACTATATGAACATTCACAAATATTTAATGAGTAAAATGGTATGAAATGAAAAGTAAAAACACGCCAACATAAGATGATAACAAAAATACATTACACAACAGCACACCAAGAGAGTTATCTTTACAGACAAAACTTTAATAATAAAGTTCTTCCCATACAATGAAATATATCACATTTGAAAACTGGTTTATCCTTTATGTAAAGACACTATAATTATTTTCCCTCTCAAAGCTAATCTTAACTGGAATTGTTTTTAAGTACCCGTGTATGGCATTCTTACCCTTGTCTACTAAGTAGCCTATGAACAGGTGCATTCTGTCCTTGGTTTGGCTGAAGGACTCTGTTGACAAATTAAATAAAAAAATTAATTCAAAAGTATAAATTCTGTTTTTCCCATTTTCTTTCAATGGATGAAAGATGATGACAGAGAGGCTGAACTCACTATACAATGACATGGCCTCTGTATTCCCATAAAGCAAGCCAGACTGATGAAAACACATTAACATGGTATTTATATCTCACTCACCAAGAATCCACACTTACAGATTTTTATTAGGAAAGAGATGTCCAACGTGTGCATAACACCTATGTTTGAGATAATTTACTTACATACCTCCTTACAAAGGCCAACTTTTTTTTTCAAACATGAGAGAGAAGAAAATATCACTCATTTTACAAGAGTGAAAAACAGATCAGAAATATTAAGTTAGCTTTCTAAGATTTTGTGAATAGGTACAAAAGATCCTTGGGACTAAACTCGACATGCCAGGCTCAAATTTCTGCCAGAGACACCAAGTCCTACAAAATTCTCCAGGACCATCTGACCTGACCGGTGGCCAGCAAGAGGCCCAGGTGTTAGTCTGAATCTGAGCCTAAGATGCTCACATCAGCAAGGGGTGTCCTACTGATTGTAAAGCAGAACAAGTTAACAAAAAGGTAAAATTTTCTTTAGGAGAAAACAATGACAACTCACTGAGATGAAGTGATTTTTCTCACCTTGTTTCAGAAGGATTTTGTTTAACCAGAAATTTCTTACTTGGCATTCCCATTTCTGCAGCTCTAACACAATAGAAAAAATAAAGACACAAACAGTGGATTTAGAGAAGGGAACAAAACAAGCTTACAAATGTGACACGATGACAGAAACAAATCATCATTTAGAAGCTGGAATAATACTGAAAGATCTGTGCTATGCATATTAAAGACTTATTTGGGCCTGGGGATGTAGCCTGGGTTCTATCTTGAGCACCGCCAAATTAAAAAAAAAAAAATAGTTTCAAGAAGAATTTTAAAAAAACAAACATTAGAATAGACTTAAGTTTTTGTCCTCCCCCAACCCCTGCTAGGAAATCTTAGAATATCAGAAGAATGTATTTATGTGATATAAAATCAAACTTGACTATAGGGACTAACTATAAGACTGGTTGGTTATCAATCATGCTGGCTGAATTTTGATTAATTCATTTATCAAAAGTAGAATCAGATTTTACCATTGATTTTAATGAAACCTATATACAAATATAGGGATTTCTATCAGCTCACTGCAGAAAAGTGAACTGTTCTTTATTTCTAATTTGAATATACAGACAACTAAATTTAATTGGTTTGATGAGAATGTGACATTTTTAAATGAAAAAACTCACTTCATATACTTCTTCCTGTCAAGAGACTTCTGTGTTGCAGCTGAAAGAGCCACTCGGGGACTTTTCATTTTATCCTTTAAAGTACAAAAACTCCATTAGTCCCAACACCACAACCACACTATAATACAGGATGATCCCAAATTCGTGGAAAAGCAGATCTTCACTAATGCTTTTAACTCTTACTTAGTCTTCCTTAAAGGAAGCAGTCGAATTCTAAAAATTAAAGTATTTTTGCAATAAAATAATATAAATTTTGCTTATTTTTCTTTTGCCAACCATAGCAAGATTACTGATTCAAACCACAGACCACCACACTGATTTCAAATTAATGTGGAGCTTGTTTTCTGACTTTGATTTAAAAAAAGGCAAAATTCACATGACAGTTACAAAAATTTTAGTCAGGAGCAGCTGGAATTTTATAAACTATCCAAGCAAAACACTCAAGTTCAACTCCAAAATCCAATCACAAAACAACGTGTAATTCTTTCCTGATGTAATTATTTTAAATGGTCTACAGATTTAAATCTTGCTGGTAATCCTGGGAATTACTGTGGTTAAGAATTATCAGAAGGGTACTGAAATCAACCAAAAAAAAAAAAAAAAAAAGACATTTAATATCAATTACCCCAAACTCAGAAGAATTTCCCTCATTAGAAAATCTCATACCATTTGCCTGAGCATTTTCTCTTTGCGAACTTCTCGATCATGATGTAGAATAGACATTCTTTCAGCTGCATCCATTACAAAGAATATATCATGTATGCCATACAGGGCAGCTCGAAGCTACATGAAAAAGAAGAAAATATTGCCACATTGAAGAGATGAGGCCAGAGTTCAGCAACACATGTATACTATGTGTACTTCTTGCATTTAGAAAAAAAGGTTAAAGTAATTTTCATTGAAAACTATTTTCAGTGATTAAATGAAGAGAGAGAAATACAACACTCCCCCTCCCGAGGCTCTGATTATTAGTGGAACTAAGCAGTTGCCGAGGAGACCTTTAGGGCACCGCCCCTACCTGCGCGAACACCCTCTCCTGAAGGGATGCATCCTGTGCTGAAACAATGCCTCTCTTTAATGGTGCTTCTGATTGGAAGCTTCTTATGAATTCCATAGTATCCTGAAAAAAAGAAACACTCCTTCAAAAACATTTTTCTGGAAAGATTTGTGATCACTGGATTTTCCTTTTGTTCTCAGTCCAAAATTGCTGAGAACGTAAATAACACTATTACTGATTACATGTCAAATAGCACTCACTTTAAAGTGAGACAAAAATATACAAATTACTTATTTATGTGTTATTTTTAAAATTATGAGTGGGCAGGCCTCAGTAGGCTGGGCTTGCTGTGTCCCAGTTTCCTCTGAGCCTGTTTTTCCATGTTCCCTGCTGCAATGAGCTTTCTCAAAAGTCCCCTCTGCCCAGGCTGGTAGAGGGGGCTCCAGAGGCAGCAGCCAAGTACTGAGGCCACACTGGCTAGGAAGGGCCTCTGTGGCCACTCCATTTACGTGGCTGAGAACTGCCTGTCTTAAATGGTTCTGGGTTAGGATTCTGACTGGAATACCCCAGCATGAGTTTACATGTGGCATCCAGGGACCTAAATGCAGAAGCATTTGTACAGTATAGCAAATGCCAAATTTGGAAAATAATTTTTAAAAATTTGTTGCTACTGGGTATAGTGGTACATGACTGTAATTCCAGCTAAGCAGAAGGCCAAGGTAAGAAGACCCCAAGTTTGAGGCCAGTCTGTTAAACTTAGCACATAACTTTCCTATGTACATACATGAATACACCTCAGTGAATCTCCATATGATGTTCAATCACAAGAATGGGATCCTAATTAGAGTAAGATATACTCCATATTTGTATAAATATGTCAAAATATACTCTACTGTCATGTATATCTAAAAAGAACAATTAAAAAAATAAAAAGAGTAGGAGATTTAGCTCAATGCTTGCCTAGAATGTTCAAGGTCCTAGGATCAATTATCTGTACCAAAAAATTTTTWAAAAAAGCCTACACTGATGACGAAAAGGAAGACAGTGATGTTGACGACATTCTACCTGTTACCAAACTTAGCTCTGTGCTTCGAGACCAATCAGCCCTGCAGGCAGCATTCCCTGAAGCATGTGGGTGACAGGCCTGGCATCCCTTTCTGAGGATGAAGACACAGATAACCACAATGGAGACCATGGTGAGGACGACACAACTAGGACAAGGGACATGCCCATATTTTACACCCATGAAGAAAGATTATCCCATGGAACAAAACAGGGCAGAGACACACTGGAGCAAGAAGGAATGCTCTGTCTGGGAGCAGTCTAACATCAGCAGATGGGGTGGGGGCGGGGGGTGGGAGGTTGGGGGGGTTGCAAGGGGTTGGGGGCGTTGCAGGGGACACAGAAGATCCACTAAGAGATCAGGAAGACAGGAGGGAGGGAAACCACATGGCAGCTGCTGGACGGGGTGAGGATGCAGGTGTCCACCAGTGAGAATGGTGCTGCAGCTCTAGGAGCCTGTTCCTAACCGCAGGATAGAGCTGTGGCTTTTTCCAGTATGGAGTGGAGTTAATGAGTCTTTTTCCTTCTCCAAAACTCACTTAAACCAGTTCTTTCTTGAGACAAACTAGACTGAGACAGCAACTTGTCACCAGAAGAAGAAACTATGACCCTTATTCAGAAAGATGAATTAACTTATTAACCAAAAGGATATTTGTAGTTTATCGTATACCTAAAAACTCCCTGTGTCTAGGTGCCCTCTGAGTAGGCTTCTAACTCCTGCCTTAGCTATGAACTGTGTGCGAGGCAGTCCACCTGGTGAAAGACCCGGAGCTTGGCTATGCAGATAGACTGGGAAGGAGAGAGGCTGAAGCAAAGAAAGGCCTGCTTAGAGCCTAAGGATACTCTCAGCCTAAAAAGGAAAGACCAAGAGCTCAGAGAAATCCTGGCCTCTGCTCCCACAGGGGTAAGTGTTCTAGTTTGGGGTCCAGATTAATTAATTCAGCCATCTCTACGTAGCCTTTTCAAAGCGAGCCCAGCCACACATCCACCACTGCAGCGAGGACTCCTGACTAGCTTTGGCTGCTTCCACCCCGTCCCCCAGGCTGCTGTTGCAGCTCTCAGGGGGTGTCATTTCACTTCCCACCTCGGCCTCGTCTTCCACAGCAGAACAGTGAGGAACCCTCAAAGTTCTTCAAATGATAAGTTATGTCTTTGAGTAGCTCGACAAATCTAGGTTTTCTATATGGCTTGTTCTCATTCTTTTTTTTTTCTTTTTTAATGTTTTTTATTTTTTAGTTGTACTTGGACACAATATTTATTTATTTACAGGTGGTGCTGAGGATCGAACCTTGGGCCTCACACGTGCTAGGTGAGCTCTCTATCACTGAGCCACAACCTCAGCCCTGTTCTTATTCTTAATTAAAGCCACTAATTTTTTAAAAAAGTAATGCTGACAAAAAAATTAGACTAATAATCGAACTTACAAATTTGCCTATATTGGAGTGACTAAAAAATGTTTGATCTACATTCTAAACTAATGTCAGCTGGGAAGACTAATAGAAACTAAGACAAAAAGTGGAATGTGAATGATTTACAACAATCTTACTTTTACAGTCTGTCGAAGCTGCTTCAGCTTATCTGTCTGCATAAGCCTACGAGTAAGAAATCCTTTTGCCACGGCAGTTATTCTATTAAATTTTGCTTGTACTTCTGGGTTAAAAATCTAGGAGAAATGAGAAAGATGGTGTTAAGAATCTGAGCACTATATTATATTGTTTTTTCTTTATCTATTACAATAAGCTAAATTCCTTTATGTATATTTGCTCTATGTAGTTTCATATGTACCAAAAGCTAAGCTAATATGACGTATGGAAAAAACATTGTTTTTTCAGCCTAAAGTAACATAACTTTCAAAAAAAGAAATATTGCCCCAGCATGGTGGTACACACCTGAAATCCCAACAACTCAGGAGGCTAAGACAGGAAGATCTCAAATTTGAGGCCAGCCTGGCCAACTTAGTGAGACTCTATCTCAAAGTAAAAAAAATTTTAAAAAGGGCTGGGGATGTAGCTCAGAGGTAAAGCACTCCTGAGTTCAATTTTCAGTTAAAAAAAAAAAAAAAAGATAGATCAATAAATAGACATATATCCAGTTTGCCCACCTGAGACCATCCAGTTTGGGCCCTTCCAAAAGGCCTTGTAACTGAGAGTTTGGTCATACCACTAGTTGACGATCCCCAGAGGTAGAATGGTACTTCATTTGCAGAACCAAAGCTATATTGTAAAGCAGAACTTGTGAAACCTAGAGAAATATACACACATATTATACTTGATGTCACATAATCAGAATATGCAGAACATGCAAGTAAACATTTGTGACTCATTAACAACAACAACTGCCTCTGAAACTGAAACACAAATGAACTTAAAATATTTATGGACTTCAAGCTTATGCACCAGATGGGTCTTTTCAACACAAAAAGCATCTCAAGATAATTGATGCTGTGAAGATAAGCTCTTAGAAGGACTGGGGAATTACAGGTAACTCAAGATCACTTGGGAGATAAAGAATTGTGCCTGAACTCCAAGCTTATCACCTGCTGCAGCAGTCAACACAGACAGGGACAACCTTCCTGGTATTTTCCTTGCAACGGGTCTCTTTTCACAAACACCTGCTCACTGGTCTTTGATCTACTTACTCTCCTTTCGATTTTAACTGGTTACTGAGCAGCTGACAAACAGTAGTGGGATGGGCATGGAATTACTTGAAAAAAGGAAGCTACACTTTTAAAAGTGTGCCAAATAAAATATCTTACTGTAGGACAAATTTTTTTTTCAAATGAAAAGAAATTTTTAAATATTTACCAGAACTATTCAAATTTGAAGTATGGAATGAGTCCACTTGAGACAGCATTGTTTCTAGCAAGCCAGAGTCGCTTATTTTCCTCCATTCTAACTCGGATACATTGGTAATGTTCAATCCAGAGACTTCTGCTGAAATCACCTTCTTCTCTTTTAACATTTTCTCCTGTTCTTCTATTTCCTATAGATTAACAGTTTATTATAACATGCTAGTCCTCTTATTTAATTGTGTCCCCAAATAGTATCTTAGATTGACCCAAAATGATGAAATTAACAGCAAGTTATTTAAAGTTTTGCTCCTACAAATAAATAATGGCTTATTGATTTTAAAATGTGATATAATAACTATAAAAAAATCTTAAAACAAGCTGGGAGCACTGGCTCACACTTGTAATCCCAGCGACTCAGGAGGCTGAGGTGAGAGGATCACGAGTTTAAAGCAAGCCTCAGAAAAAAGCAAGGCACTAAGCAACTCAGTGAGACCCTGTCTCTAAATAAAATACAAAATAGGGCTGGGGTTGTGGCTCAGTGGCTGAGTGCCCCTGAGTTAAATCCCTGTTACCCCAAAAAAAAGAATAAAAAAAAATCTTAAAACTAAGTATCTATTTTATGATATTGCTCTTGTATATTTAAGTATCTATTTGTGAAATATCTTTGAAAAATATTAGAAGTTTTGAATTAAGGAGTCAATAAAGTAGTCTCATAAATCATGCAAATACTTTTAGATAAGGATCTGAATATTTGACTTCACATGAATAAAAAAAATATTATCCATGTATGATCCCCTAAAATATTTAGGGGGAAAAATGAACAAATATTCTACATATAGCCCAAATTCATAGGACTTCTCGACCTTCACTTACCAGCCCTGTCCCCCAACATTTTAATTCCTCACCTTTTGCAGCCTTTCCTGTTCTCTTTCCTGCTCAGCTATGAGGAGTGATAACTGTTGGGCATGCTGTTCTTCTAGTTTCTTCCGCATTTCTTCAAAAGCTAACATCTTGCTTTTTAGTATCTCCTCACCTTCTGAAAGGAAACACAATCCCTCAAATTTAGAAAATTCACTACAAGTCTAATATCTGATATTTTATATCCTCAATTTAAATTAGTTTCTGACCAGAGGGCATTCCTGGAGCTCACATAATACAAATAAGATATAAAGCCAGGCACCAATGTGAACCACATTCTCACCTGCCACTCCTCTGATTTCACACTACCCAATAAAGAAAGGCTTATATCTCAGCATCTTTAGCCTCTCATTCAACAGATCCCAGCAGATCTGAACTGACAGAGCCCAGACTCTATGTTCAGGCAAGTGTCTCCAGAGGCTAATCACATGTGGTCCTCAACTGTGTTTCATCACTATTTACTTGACTCTCGTCCTTCTTCAGGACCTCTGGAAAACATCCAATCCAAAGGTTCAACATCCAATCCAAAAGAGTGAATATTAAATTCAGATATTTTAGTTACCAACTAAAGAAATTATTGAGATATCATAACTAAATAGAAAGAGGGGAGACAGATTGAAATGCTGAAATACCAAGTATTATACAGATGCAGAAAGTATATATTCATGGATTCATCAAGAATCATTCTTTCCAAATTATATAGTCAGTGATTTTTAGCAAGGACAAGTATATTAGGTTCTGCTGCCCTGCTGATACACTCTGGCTACAACAGTTTGCACTTGCTTATGTGCAGTTTTTCGTAGGTAAATAAAATAATAATCTTCAACAAGAAAGGAAAAGGCCCAACTCCGCTAAACCATTCGATGGACTGAAGTCCATTCCGCATGGTCTGAAAAACTCTGTACATGAAGACAGACACTGAAAGGCACACCCAGCCATGGGCAGCTCTCAGCTCCCTTGCCCTTCCTGACAGCAGCCTCCTCTGTGACCAGCCTCACCTCTCAAGTTTATGAAAGCACTGCCAGACCTGCCACTTGATTGGTTTTGTGTTCCTCTGATGACCACAGAGGCAGCCTATAGGCCACACGAGGTTGCCTACTTGGAGAACACAAGTTGGTTCCCCATGTACCAACTGTTTTTATTAGAGGTCTGACAAAGGTGGTTTTAAGCATTTTGCCTCAGCCTTACTTTTCCCATAAGTCTTAAAAACTTGATTTACATCTTCCGTGTAAGTAATGAAGAATTACTAACCAAGACAACAAAGAAACAATAAAGACAAGTGTCAACAAGTTGTTAATATAAAACCGGATGCAGCAGAAACATGAAATAATGTTTATCAATAAAGAACCATCCTTCAAACACAACACAGAGCCTCATTTGTGATACTTAATCTAACAATTTGATGTTAAAAGTGTTTATCAAAGGGCCAACAACATGAAGAGCTCATTACAAATCAAAGAGCAAACTGGTAAAAACACTGAAATCCTAGTCCAATGGAAGACCTCATGGCAATACACTGGATTAAAACTATTATTTTCATGCCAGCATTTCCTCCAGTTATTAATATTTTTCTATAACACCAAATAGACTACGAAAGATTCAATTTTTAAATAAAAAGTCCTTTTAAGATCGACTTTCTTAAAAGTCAAACAAATAGCAACAAACTAGAGCTAATTATATGCTTTCTGATAAGATAAATGAAATTAAGTTCCCTTATGAAGATATGAAGACAATTATTTTTTTGGAAAAAAAAAAAGTCAATTACATGTATTTAAACCAAGGGGCCATTTTCTTGGAAGGTATCAAACACTTCAGAGGGCCTTACCTTTGGTACTGGTTTCTAACATTTTATTCTTGTTAATGTAGACAGATCCCTTAGGGTATCTTTGTTCTGGCAAATGTTGCCTCTCCTGTTCAGCTATTCCAGTTGTTAGGACATAAGGGCAGTTTTCCTTTTGCAAAGTATCAATATCTAAATCAAGTCTCCGCTTAACTTTTTCAAAACTATTATCCAAAAACTGTTCATTTCCACAGGACACCATAGGTGTGTCCATCTCTTGTCTCGTATTCTGGTTTTGCATCAGTAAAGGAGACGGGTTTTTTACATCATAAGACTTATTCAGTTCCATCTGTAAATTGCAGGAGTTTTTCTCTAAGGTACTGGCTGACTTAAGACCACTCACAGTTCCAAAGCTGTGACCTGCTACGCACGGACTGATGGCATGTGGTTCATGCACTTTGGGTGCTACAGTACTAGAAGTATTCATTTTGTGTGCTACTCTGTCATCAGATGTTAGCTGACCTTCTGCAGTAGCAAGTCCATGAGTAACTTTATTTTCTAATTGATTTCCTAAAGATTGACATACCTGACTTGATTTACCAACAACCATATCCCCTATGGCTTCAGATATATTTTTGCTAACATAAACCTGGTTAGAACAAATTCCTAAGTCAACTGGTAACTTTGGCACAGTTTCCGGTACATTGGTTTTTTCATCAGTATCTGGAACAATTATGTCCACTACTTCTTCTTTTCCTTTAGGGCTTAACTCACAGGCATTTATTGGGTTATTTATGAGTATATGACATGCTGATGATGGCCTGGAACGCCTTCGATGCATTTTAGGACTCAAACTTGGCTCTGGACTAGGTAATTTGGCATATGAACCTGTAAGACTTTTGATAACATTATTTTCAGTAATAAAAGTGGGAATGACTTTAAAATCAGATTCAGAATCTGAAACAGTGGGATGGCCAGTTCGTACAGGTATGTCCACCTTAGAAAAGCTAGCTAAAGGTGACGTAGTCATGCTGCTTGCCTGAAAAGAAGCACCCTGGAGAAGAACGTTTGATTTATTAAGGCTTGGTTTGTCGGGAAACACTGAGCCACAGTGTTTGCCCATCAACGGGGCTTTCTCCCTCACACAGTCACTCACTCTAACAGCATCATTTTCTTTGTCTGAATGACTCTCGTTAACACTCCTCTTTGCACTGTTTCTCAGGCTGCGTCTAGATTGTTCCCTCTCTATGTATTCCCTTGACTTTTTCATCAGGTTCTGAAGACTCATTATATATGGATCTGGGGTGACTTCTGTCCAGAGTGATGGATTCTGTTCTTCATGTGTTGCAAGAAGACCATCAGAAACTAGAGTCTCCTGTGGGGTTGCTGAGGAGATCTTCGAAGATGCTTCATTTTCTGTGTGACTAATATTGGACCTATCACCCTGCTTCAGAGAATTAAATCCTTCTGAATCTCTAGCTAAGTCTAACCCATTAGGTTTACATTGGTCCTCATTATCCAATGGCAAAATTCCAGTTTTCTTTTCAATCTTTGCTAAAGTAGAGTGTTCAGTAGGGCTTGGCAAGCCATTTGGAAATGTAGCAGGAACATTCAAGTTTCTGACTTCTGAATTAGAGTCAATGGTTTCAATCTCCCATTGAGCAAAATCACAGGCATTAGGTGCTTTTCTAACCTGAAAAAGACATTTAAAAGTTAATGTCTTCATTGCACAAAAAAGCTTTGATTTTTACTGTTTTCCACAAAACAGAAATTGAAGATTCAGAGTTCTGACATTTGAAAACACAAAGCCAAACTAAGATGGCTAGTTTCTATAGTATCCTATATCACAGGGGAATCAAATTACTATTTAAAAAAAATCTACTGGTCATCCTAGCCTTTTTACTAAAAGAAAGAAGAAATTCAGGGCTGGGTGTTGGCTCAGTGGTAGAGCGCTTGCCTAGTATGTGTGAGGCACTGGGTTCGATCCCTGGCATCACATAAAAAAATAAACAAATAAAATAAAGGTATTGTGTCCACGTACAACTAAAACAATATTTTTTTTAGAAAAAGAAGAAATTATCTAATTAGATTCAAATATGAACCTATATTTATACATATTCATATACCCATGTACAATACAATCTCACAAAGTATTTCCTTAACTTTCTTCTGGTATTAGCCTCATCCAGCAACTGTTCCTCCTAGGACAGCTATCGTCTTAAGGATAACAGAAGCAATAAATACCAAGCAATTAAATGTCTTACACACAAATGATTCCCTCTCCAACGAACTTGTTTAGAACATTGATTAAGCAAAAATAATTAAGAAGTAAGACTCCTGCCTCCCACATGCTTACTCAGTTTAACTAAAACAAATCCATAAAATGAGGCAAATTTGTAGTAAAGAACAGCTCATCCATGTAGCTTAAAGTATTTAGAAATAAGAAATTAAATTTCAACTTAAAACTCAATTCATGGGCTGGGGATGTGGCTCAAGCGGTAGCGCGCTCGCCTGGCATGYGTGMGGCCCGGGTTCGATCCTCAGCACCACATACCAACAAAGATGTTGTGTCCGCCGAGAACTAAAAAATAAATATTAAAAATTCTCTCTCTCTCTCTCTCTCTCTCTCTCTCTCTCTCTCTCTCTCTCTCTCTCCTCTCTCACTCTATCTTTAAAAAAAAAAAAAAAAAAAAAAAAAACTCAATTCATAAAAAAAAATCAATTAGATTAATTGGCAAAAAGTTAAAACAGCAACCTATTAATGCGTTTTGAAATAAGCAAAAATGGTAAACATTTGCTACGTTAAGATGAAGACAACTATATACACAAGAGATCCAAAGAATAACAAATTATATTTTGTATCTCAATAATACAACTTTCAGAATAAAAAGTGAATTAGGGGAGCTGGGGTGTGGTTCAGTGATAGAGTGCTTGCCTAGCACTAGGCTCGATCCTCAGCACAACATATAAATAAATGAACAAAATAAAGGTCCATCAATGTCTAAAAAATATTTTTTAAAAAAGTGAATTAGGATAGTTAATAAAGATTATACAAACACATGTTAAACTGCTAGCATTACATGAATGCGGACTCTGGAGTCCTGAATATTAAAAGATTTGGGGGGTGTTTTGTATATGCTTGTTTTTTTCCTAGGCCATATGGCCCTCTGGTTTTAATTTACAAATCCCAAGACAGGTAATGGTCTCCAAGTACTGTGCAATAAACAATACAACAAGGGTTCTTAGTCATACATAGCCTCAGGACCAAAACCAACCAAAGGGGATGTTTTCACCAAATCCACAAACATGTTCATAAGTTCAAGCAACAATTTATTTCTTTAGAGAAAATCTTTCACATTTCACACTTATGATATTCAGTAGTTATATTTTCTATACACTATTGATATGAGCCTTTGGTGAGACAAGCTAAATTTCTAAAAATCTATCATCAAATCACAGGTTTTACAGGTGAAATAGACCTTAGAAATCTTAGAAATTTATTCAGAATTTCTCTATTTGAACAATTAAATCATAATGGGTCAACATTTACATGTTCTTTTAAACAGAAGGTTTTCAGACTCAACAATAATTTTACTAATAGTGCATTTGATATATTCTTAAATGAACCAATAATAATGACATTTTTGTTTCAATAGCAGAAAATATTTATTAGGACAAAAGCCTACCTCTTAATAATTTAGTGCTATATGTTATATTTTTAAACCTAATGTAGACAGTAATTATAATCTACAAATTAAAATCTACTACCCACACTACATATTACCCACAGAGAAATGAAGGTAGAATTTAGTGAGAAATACCCTAAGGTTCATTATACATGAGTCATCTAATATGAATCATAAAGACAAACCACCACCCTTAGGATTATGAAAAAAACAAAAACTAACCAACAAAATAATACTATGCATGGTAGAACTTATTTGTTTAATCTAATCTGCTTCTCTCTAGTATGAAATGACTCAAGATTTCAAAACAAGTTGTTTATACAAATCTAACCTAAATAAAAATAATTGCCAAAGGTGTACAAATGTTGTTTGATTTCCGTTTGGATCTAAATATATCTGGGTAATTCTATTTATCTGAGTTGCATTTTATGTATCTACAAGCAGAATTTTCACACACACAAAATGGGGGGCAGTTATTTACTTTAGCTGAGAATGAAAATAAGGTCCTTTAGTCAATAGTCTGATTAGTTCAGGGGTTAATCACAATGGCCAATTCTATCATTTCATCACTTAGAATTCAATGTTTTTAGAGTCATAAGACATACACAATAAGCAATTATACTCAGTGTATGGTGCCACTGTCTAAGTACCCTCTGATTCAAGTACTGAGCATTACACTAAGAAGCAAGTGAATTCTCTTTGGAGTAATTTAAATGGAACATCACAAATTATAAAGCTTCTCAAACATAACAAAAAAGCACACAATTAACTAGTTAAATATAAATACATTTCTGAAAAATTAACACAAATGCTTACCTGATGATTTCTTAATTATGATCTAAAAGATTCAAGTTACACACCTGAACATTTTCAAGAATCTCCTGTACACGAGTCAGTAAAGCTTTCTTCCTGTTAACCTGCTTTCTGGCTTCTACATCAAGGGCTTTCTGCTTTTCCTGTTGTAGTTCCTTTCTCTTCTCACTATTTAGCTGTAAGACACAATAAAAATGTAATCATTTTTTCAATGATAAAAATATAAAATCATGAACTTTTGGATCAAATTGACTTAAAACCATATGCAAAAGCCAGAACTAATATATACTGAAAGAAAAATGGACAGTGCATGGGAAATTGACTGGGATGGGGCGTTTGGGACCGTTCTGTAGTGATCAAAGTGCTCGGTGTGGGCATGAGTTAAAAGGGTGTATCCAACACATCAAAACTCAAGGAACTTCAACACTCAGGACCTGTGCATTTCACTAAATGTAAATTATTTCTGGAAGAAAAAAGTTAGACAAAAGAAAAAAACTATTCATTGATCAAATGCTGTAAAATGACAGAAATAAAATTAGCTCTTTGGGCCAGTGCTAGAATATTCATTTGGCAACAATTCATTTCACTGACTCAGATTCTTCAACTTTTAATCTAATCACTACACATTAACTTTTTTGCTGCCTCAAGAAAATATCTAAAGGTTTCATGATAAAAGAAACATGATGTTTTCTTTGCCAACAAAATCAGAACATTTTTATTCCACTTTATAATCGCCAATAAAAATATAATGTATGTAAAAAATTGAAAGCTTCCAAGTTTTTTGTTTTTCTTTTGTGGTACAGAGGATTGAACACAGGGGTGCTCTATCACTGAATTACATCCCAAATCCTTTTTATTTCTTATTTTGAGAAAGGGTCCCACTAAAGGCTGCCTTGAACTTGTGAACCTCCTGTTTCAGTCTTTCAAGTCACTGGGATTACAGGCTTCTGCCTCCTGGATTGGTGCATTATATACTGGATTATATATATTATATAGTGGATTCAGTCTTAATTACTAAGTCCTAAGAAGTTTAGTCAAGACTTATTTCAGATTTTCACAAAATATGTCCTAAAAAACTATTGAAAATTTAACTAGTCATCTATCAAATACAGCATAAAAGCACAGATAGGCACAGACATCAGATTTTGCTGTTAAATAAATAACTGATGGGATCTAGACTCTACAATAACCTCAGACATTTTGTTTCACATTAAATCAAGCAGCATGTCATCAAATAGCTGATAAAAATGTTGCTTTAAAATGTTCTCCTATTTACATTGTACCAAAAAAATCACTACAGTTTACTTACTAATCAAAAAGGGAAATGTATACATTTAAAGCACCACCTGGCAGTCACCATGATAAGCAAGTATTCAAAGTAAACATCAACTGAGGGACAACTAAATATTATGTAACTTCTGATTTAATTTAATACGATGTATACAACACCATCTCAAAAGAGTTCTTGCCAAAAATGTTTAACCTGACTCTAATCAAACTTTTAGACTTATCTTCCCATTTACGGGAGTTAGAAAAACTTCAGGAACAAGTTAAATATCATCACAAGAAACCAATTAGACAAATCCAAAGTTAAGGCTTTCTACAACACAATAGGTCTGGTCTCTATAATTTCAGTATCATTAAACATCTTTTTTTTTTTTTTTTTTTTTTAGAAGTGGGGCTGGGCTGGGGATATAACTCAGCTGGTAGAGTTCTTGCCTTGCATGCCCAAGGGTTTAATCCCCCCACACCACACCACACACACACACACACACACACACACACACACACAAAAAAAAAAAAAAAAAAAAAAAAAGCAGAGGCACCAGAAGTGGTGGTGAATGCCTATAATCCCAGCAACTCAGAAGGCTGAGGCAGGAGGATCACAAGTTTAATGCCAGCTTCAGCAACTTATGAGACCCTGGCTCAAAATAAAAAAATAAAAAGGGCTGGGGACTTAGCTCAGTGGTAAAGCACTCCTGGGCTCAATTCTAAGAATTGAGTGCTTTACCACTGAGCTAAGAGACACTTTGAATACAAATGGAAAAATGTGAATATGAATAGAATATTAGATGCTACTAAAATTTATTAATTTTGTTACCATACAATGAAGGTATTAGGATTTGACATAGAAGAATGTTCTTATTTTTAGAAAACATATACTAAAATATTTAGAAAAAAAATGTTATAAACATGCAGTTTTCAAATGGCTAGGCAATTTTTTTATATTCAAACATTTCATTATACACAGTTGGCAGAAAATACTGACCTTTTAACACTTATTATACGAAAATAAATTTAAAACTAACTTTTTCTAATAATATTAATTTTCTGCAGGGATGTAGCTTAGCTGATAAAGGGCATTCCTTGCATGCAAAAGGCCCTGGGTTCAATCCCCAGCATCATAAAAAATAAATAAAATAAAAAATATTCAGTCAGTATCAAGTGTATATAATAATGCACCCTGCCTACCTTCCTATATTCCCTTATACCTTCCTTTTCTTTTCTTTCTTTTTTTTTTTTGGTACCTGGAATTGAGCCCAATGGTGCTTAACCACTGAAGCTCATCCCCAGCCCCTTTTGTAAAATTTTTGATTTTTTTTTTTTTTTTTAAATTTTGAAACAGGGTCCCACTAAGTTGCCTAGGGCCTTGATCAGTTACTGAGGCTAGCCTTGAACTTGTGATCCTTCTGGCCTCAGACTCCACAGTAGGTGGGATTACAGGCATGCGCTAATATGCCAACCTAATATACCATTCTTTTCAAAGTGCAAATAGTTAACATATACTGAGTACCTCCCATGATCCGGGTAGTATTCTAAGCACTTTGCATATATTAATTCATCAGTCCTCAAAATAACCTTACAAGGTAGGCACTATTTTTATCACATTTAACAAATAAGGAAATGGATCACAAATTGACCCAGCAGATAAGTGGTGAAACAATGATTTGAATCCAGGCCAAAAGGTTCTAGAGCCTGGCCTTTTTACCACCACTTTATGCTGTCTCTGAGAGTATGCTAGACCTTAATTGTGCATCAAATCCAGCACTTTTAGATCTACCTCACTCAGTTTAATGGCATGTATAAGATTCTACAAAATAGACTACAGTTAAGCTAATCCACTATAAATGAACATTCAGAGTGTTCATCAACCTCTTGCTATTTTAAACAATACTGCTGTAACATATTTATTTATAAGCACCTATAATTGTAGATATTCCCCAAAAAGGAATTGCTGAATCAAATTTATGTTACACTTTTAATTTATGTTACACTTTTACACTATTTTTTCAAACTTTTTATATTCAAACATTTCATTAAACACTTTTAAACACTTTGTTTATTCACTTTTAAACACTACCAAACTGCTCACCAAAAACATAATCAACTGACATTCTTAGTAAAAGTACATTAAAGGTGCATTCTCCCACAACCTAAGGAACTCTAGGGTCTTATCAGATCTTTGCAAATCTTAGTAGGTGAAAAGTAGTAACTTATTTGTATTTCTCTGATTGTGAACAAACATCCTCCAAATGTTTATAAGCATTTTATTTGTTTTTCTGTGATCTATGTTAGTCTTTCACTAGAGAAAATAATTATTTAAAAACAAAGAAAGTTTACCAGTGGAGAAAGCACAGCCACTCCATGGAAGCGAATAAGTGAAATACTCTCAGACTGAGCAGGCAGAAAGCTCTCTGTAGACAGTGATGCTTCTTGGATTCTGGCAAGAGTTTTTTCATAGAACTCCTCATACTCCTCCATCTTCCCACAACCACACTACAAGAGAAAAATATCATTTTTAATGTGCTGAGAAAAATAGATCTTAATTATTGGCAAATTTTGTACAGTATGAAATACTCCTAGAATTTACCAGTCCCAGAACTGGCATTCCCAAAATTGTCCCACTGATCAGGAGCTAATTCTAGGGTACAGGAAAACACCTGGGGATCCTGTTAGACTTGCTTTGAATATTAATTTTTATGAGTATTTCTGCATGTAAATCTGACTTTAAATATGATTAATTTTGAGAGTACTAGAAGCTCATAGTGAAACCTTATAGGAAAAAAGTTTTACAGTTCTTTATTAACAAAGAATTGCAAAACAGAATATTATATTTTCTTTATTAGGACTTACCTACATAGCACAAGAAAAACTATACCATACAAAGATAGAAATGCTTTTGCAGCAAAGACAAGGCTATTTAAATAAAATACCTAATTTAAAAATTATTTTTCTATTACAAAGTTCAAAGATACTTCTATTTCCTTGGACTGTATCTTGACTCCTTGGCCTCCAGCCAACTCAGCCAGGGGTAGAATGTAGAAAACATATTGGTGCTGGGATTAATTCTGTTGTTGAAACTTGACGCCATCATCAAGCCACTTAAATCAATCGGCCCAGCAATTTTGCAATTTCTGGAAAACTGACGGTGGTTATGAAAATCCCACATAACCATAAGGATTAGCCACCATAATCATTCCTGTAGCAAGTGCTAAATAGTTATTGCCTGTTTTCATAGCATTATGTGCGGTTCTGGTTCCTTTAAATAAGCAAGGGAAAATAAAAAAAGACGCCATTAGAATCATAACTGTCAAGGGAACTGATAAACTGTGAAAAAGAAAACCTAATACAATAATGTTCCTTTAAGTATTCATTTTAAAACAATTAGCTACTTAACAGAAAAAAAAAAAAGGCGGGGTGGGAAAATTCAGTTCACAGTATGGAATATGCAAAAATGAATTAAGACCGAATATGATGCTGTCCCAGGCCTCAGAGTACTTAAAAATTTAGTACACAAGAGTGTCAGGGACAAATAATACATTCTAATTATAATATTTAATTACAATAAAAATGAAGGAAAAAAACATTCAAAATTATGATTATGGGGGAAAAAAAGAGGTAAGTTGTTATTTTTGATCAACTGGCAGTTTTAGCAATAATAAAACCTCTTCCTACAATTTCATCAATTGTAATTATTTCTATGTTCAATTTATGCAAAGTAAGTCTAATTTCAAAGGAATGGTTCTCTCAAGTGCAAATGAGATTATTCTGAAAGCTTATATTCAAAAAAAAGAAAAAGTAAAAACCACAGAACACTTTGTAATATAACCATTTTTAGTCTAGGTTATATATCTTGACACATTATATCTTGACAACCAAAATATGCAGTAGCTAAGACATAGAGTAAGTCAAATAAACCCATTTCTGCTAAATTACTTGAAAATATTTTACAACCAGCATTATAGGGAACACAAACAGATTTCTTGTACAAATAATGCAATATAGTTTCTATAGATATGCCAGCAAAGGGGCTGGGGATGTGGTTCAGTAATAGAGTGCTTGCCTGATATGTGTGAAGTCCCGGGTTCAACCTAGCACCACAAAAAATAAAATATAATAAATAAACACACACACACACACATACACACAAGATACACACACATAATATACATCTAAGCAAAGCATGAAATTCACTTTTAAAGGCCTGCAAAATTTAAGAAAATAAACTACCTTTATAGTAATAATTTCACCATTCTTTTAACAACATAAGAGATGCGTCACTGTCTGAGAAAGTTCACATCCCTTAAACAGTACAAGTATCTCTACATATTGAAGATATATGGTACCATATTATTATTACAGAATAACTTACCACATATGATAATAAATAACCATTTAGATATAAATGATAATGAGATTATGGAAGATTCCAAATTCTCCTGAGTATGACTAGATCCTTCTTATCCTTTAGGCTCAGCTTCAATGTCCCCTTCTCAAAGAGGCCATCCATGATTATTTCATCCAAATTAACCCTTCCTCAGTCACTATCACATTACCCAGCTGTTTCCCAATTTCTATAGCACTTACCACTATCTGCTATTGTCTTGTTTATTTTCTTGGTTTTTGTCTCTCTTCCTCCACCAAAATATAAGCTCCATAAGCAGAAGTACCTTCTCAGTCTTGCTCACTGAATCCCCATTATACAGAACAGTGTCAGCATACAGAAGAGCACTTAATGAAAGTAGTGAATAAATGAATTAGGTCAATTGGTTCAAATGATAATGTAAATCAGAAGAAAAAAGAAGAGGGTGGACTACATAGCAAAAAACTATCAAGGAAGAATGAAATTTAGACCACGGTCCTTGCGTGGATGACGCTATTTCCAGAGAAACTTCTACCTCTAAACTGCAAAGGTAACCATTTACAAAGTGAACCGTCCACATCCCATGATTAAGCAAGAGGGTACTATGTTTCTCACACCACAATTACCACTGCTAGCAAGGTTTCCAGGAAGCCCTGACTTAGGAGGCCATCCCAGTCACAAATCTACTGCCCCATACTTTACCATCAGGCCTTACTGGTCCACTTCCATTAATGCCAGCTTCAGCAGGTTCGGGCAAGTCTTGTCTTCTCCATCTATACCTGAGTGCGACTGTCCCTGTCCAAATGAGCCCCTTTGCAAACCCCATAGAGTCATGGACCTGTCTGCCCCTTTACCAGTGCTCTGCCAGAAATGTCACTGAACGGGATGGTAAAAGTTAACACCAAACTGATCCTAGCTGGTTGTTTCCCCAAAGACACTTTTTGGACAGGGAAGATCTCTTACTTGGACACATCCTAGCTGTAAATTCAGTGTAAGCCGGTCCCCATTCTTGCCCTTTAGTTTCCTTATTGGTAAAACAGGGAACACCAGGGTATCTGTCTCAAAGGGATCCCAGGAGCTAATAACAATGCTTGTACGCCCATTAGCACACTTGGGAAATGCAGGAAGCATCAATCAACGGGAGCTGCTTTGCTTACTGGAGAGGCTAATGCTGCTGCTGCTTTTTATCACTTGCCTCTGAACCCTTGGAGGACTCGAACTGGGCTTTCGAATGTAACTTAAAAGCGGGGGAGGGGAGGGGACTACGGCTTCCTCTCTCGCAGTTTCCTGACCCCTCCCCATCGAATCCCTCTCTAGACGGGTGCCCTCGGCTGGAACTGGGGTTAGGGGAAAGGGATTCCAACCCGACAGGAGAAGCGCGGGGTGGGAACGGCGAGCACCATCAGGGGCTATCAAGAGAATTCTCTGTATACTATTTATTATCCTCCTTAAGCTTACGCCCCAGAGTCGCAAAGGCGGAGTGAACAGCGCTCCCAGGGCCTTTGGGGGTTGTAGTAAGTGGCGATCAGAAATGGCCAATGCACAGCGCTGGGGACGCCTCGTTCTCCCGCTTGGCGGGGGAGACGGAGCAAAATGGCCCAAGCGTTTTGCGACCTGGAGGGGGTTCCGGCTTCGGCACGAGTTGGCTCCCCGGGCACCCTCTGCCCTCCCCGGCCCCTCCCAGGGTAGGGCTCCATGCCAGGCGCTGCCAGCATCCGAGCATCACCTCCGCGCTCGGTGCCGCCGGCCCCCGGGCACCCGCTCCTCACACCCGGCGCCTTCCCCGGGCTCGAAGCCCCGGGACCCGGCACAGAGCCCGCCCTCGGCACCACAGGGCGCCAATTCCGCCTCGCCAGGTCGCCTCCGCGCCTGGATCGCCGAGGTCGGGGCCCTTCTTCGTGCACACACCTGATTCCCCGACGGCCCAGTCGGCTTTTCTCCTCTCGCCACGGGCCTTGTCAGGAAACAGCAGGCTCAATTGGTTCTGACAGAGCGCAGCTCGATGCGCCGCCGCCTTCTCCTCCTCCTCCCCGCCATATTACGGGTCTCTCAGGCGGCAACGCGGGCTCCTGGCAACCGCCGCCGCCGCCACTAGGACTCCACCCCTCAAGGCCGGTACTTCCGGTGATTACTTCCCGGGCGGTTGCAACGGTTGGACCCTCCAAAACTACAACCCCCAAGGTGCATTGCGTGTCCGTGACAGGGGACGTGTTGCTTACGACGAGCGAGATGCACGCTGGGAAACGTAGTTTTCGTTGCAAGCTAGCGCATATTAAAACTCGTTAGGATAGGAACGCTTCTCCGGGTTTCAAGCCCCCCAGCATGTTCCTTAGTTGCCATTTTTTATTCATCTGTGTAGAGATGATCTCTTCCCGTGTGGTCGTTGGGAAACAACATTCACCAAACTGTGAATGTTTTCTCTGTAAACAAAAAATTTGCTGAATCCTAGATGCCAGCTCCAAGCCTTAATACATCTGTGCCTCTTTTGCAAATCAGTGGGAAAATTCGTCCAGGAGGAAAGGTAACAGGTTCAAAGTGGCAGCAAAAGCCCCGAATCTTTTCCAAACTTAATCATGTTACCAACTTTCCAAAGGATGATTGAGTGGTCCTATTCCCATTCTCTAATTTGGCTCTCTTAATGATTCTCCTTCGGGTACCTATTTTTGCATAGGTAAAAATGCGGATTTTAAAAGTGCCTATTACAAGTGTGATTGTGAGGCACAAATGAGATCACTCTGGCGTCAGGGCCCCGTACGTAAGCTTTCCATAGGGGGAGAGGAATAAGATTAGGAGCAGGAGGAAGAGTGGAAAGGTCACCAGTCACTGGAAGACTTGATAACACCCCTGACCTGACCTGCCCATTAACAGCTAACTTCCCTTTACCTCTCCTCGGTGTCCTCAACCGTAAAACAATGAAATTATTGAAATACCTTCCAGGTATTGATCGGATGGTGCCTCCTTTGGCTCTTTTCATTCCTTACTACTCTGGAAGACCCTCCTGGAGGCGACCGACATGAGTCCACTGAGATAACAATACCTACTTACTGAGGGCGTGGCCAGAGCTTTGAGATATGCAGTGTTTGCTCCACGGTACCTGGAACGTGGTAAGTGTTCTGCAAATGTTGGCTCTACTTGGTAACACCTTTACCTCTCGCCACCCGCCCCCACCTCCACCCCGGCGGGTGCCCATCGGGTCAGAGCTCCCTGTCAGTCCAGTTCACAGCACGTGGACCGCTGTTTGACAGCTTTCGAATTCAAAATATGCTCAGCGTCCCGCCCCTTCGCGGTTCCCAGAACTTCACTTTCCTGGAGGGCAGACTCAGATCTTTGGCCTTCTTTCCCCCCCTCCCGCCCCTCCCCGCCAGAGGTGTCTGAGGGCGGGGGTGGGGGCCGAAGTCCCGACCCGGGAGAGCCCAAGGCGGCTTGGAACCCGAGCCTGGGGCCTGGGCCCGCCCCGTTGCCATGGCAGCGGCTCCGCCCCCTAGCGCTGGAGATCCCGGCCGCTGATTGGCTGGGCCCCGGGCTCCCTCCCTGGAGGTGTCTTCCGCCGCCATTGTGCGGCGCTGGTCCGGTCGGAGGGTGCTCGCTGCGGCCAGTGCCTTGGCCTCTCCGGGTCGCTTCTCGCCGTCGGGTTCCAGGAGCCCGGCGGGTCCGGGCTTCCCGTCCGTGCCGGTGCGGGCGCCGGCATGTGGCTGTGGGAGGACCAGGGGGGCCTCCTGGGCCCCTTCTCCTTCCTGCTGCTGCTGCTGCTGCTGGTGACGCGCAGCCCCTTCAATGCCTGCCTCCTCACCGGCAGCCTCTTCGTCCTGCTGCGCTTCTTCAGCTTTGAGCAGGTGCCGTCCGACAGGGCCCTGCAGGTGCTCAAGCCCCGGGACCGCATCTCCGCCATCGCCCACCGCGGCGGCAGCCACGACGCGCCCGAGAACACGCTGGCGGCCATTCGGCAGGTGAGCCCCCCACGCCTCGCGCCCCTCGGCCCTCCTGGAGCCCGGCCTGTCCACGTCCTTGCGAGCTCCCCGGGGTCCTCTCCCGGTCGCCCACCCCGGGTGCATTGCAGCGCCCCTGGACCACCCCCCACGCCGGGCAGCCTCGGGCCCCGGGTCTTCACAGAACCCAGCAGTTATTTACCTGGCCCCTGCGCGCCCTGCGGAAAGGGTCCCCGCTTTCCCTGGGCGTCTATCAGCTTGGGGGAAAAGACTCACACRGGAGATACTTTAAGAGAGTGAAAAATTGCAATTAAGTAGCAGTGTGATGAGATTAGAGAATGACTGGGAGGGAGTATTAATTAGAGAAAACCTCTCAAAAAGAAGTGAGCGTTGAACTGAATCCAGAACCAGGAGAAAGAGTCAGCCACGGGGCGTGGAAATAATGTGCTCCCAGAAAAGGAAATCGCAGTGTAAAGGTCCTGAGAGGAGAAGGACATTGGAATGTTAAAGTGACAGAGGAGGCGCCAGTATGTGGTCTGACTTAAAGGAACAACGAAATCCGGTGCGTGAATTGAAGGAGGAAATGGACCAGGTTCTAATAGGATCTTGATCAGTAAATGAGGCTAATCTAAGTGGATCACTCTTCTCAAGAGATGTCTTTGCTTGGCCTCTAAATTAACCTGGGTCGTTTTCCTTGTCACCTTTCTCTCCAGACACACATATTTACAGTGACACCAACTTGGCACCTGGACTCCTGGACTCCGGGTCAATTTTTGCTTCCCTTTTCCACAAGGCACTCCTGAGAATCATGATAGCTCCCAGATCTTGGCAATCTCCTAACTTCATAATAAGAGGGATTTTTCAGTGGATTAAGCACTTTTGCATCTGTGTAAATGCAGTCTGTACTCAAAAACAATGTTTTTTATTGCATCTGTAGTGAACATTAGATTATAACCATTTACATAGCTTTTAGGTTGCATCACGTATTATAAGCAATTTAGAGATGATTTAAAGTATTTGGGAGAACATCTGTAGGACATATGCAGATATATCTGTGGGCAGTCCTAGAATGAATTCCCCCATACCAAGGGACAAGTGTGTATCTGATCTTCTTGTTTCTTTGAGACATTATTTTAACACTAAAGAGGTGGGAAAACTGTCTCAAACACACAGCTCCTTCTAGAATTCAGCCTTCTGATTCCAAGTCCCAGTGTTCTCTGTCGTAGATTAGAATGTGCTCCAGGATGTAAAGCATGGACTTTCTGACAGGCCTTCTTCACCCAGCTAGAGACAGAAACTGTCAAGTAATGAGCAGGTTACTTATCGCCCATGGGTGGTGACTAGGGAGTAACAAGCAGGCACCCTGGGGCAGACCTCAGTTTCTCCATCTGTTAAATGGGAGTAATAATGGTGTCTACCAAGTAGGATCTGAGGATTCAGTGAGCTAATCCACATATGGTAAGGCCTAGTAAGACTTCCACTAATGTAAGGTATTGATCCAAGATGACTTGATTCTTTAAAACGGAGCAAAGGTTAAAAAATAATAATTCTGAAGAGGGGCAASGTCTACGCTAGTAGAGGGCATCTGAGTTTTTGTATAATCAAGTTAAACTTCTCTTATGTGTCTCTCCCCTGGCTTCTTTCTTTTTGATGGGAGACAGTGAGGGCAGCTTTTCCAGCCTCTTGTTTAAAAGTAAATGTAAAGATATTGATGAATGTACATAAACTCAAAAAGGTCAGGGAAGGAATATTGGAGGGGGTATATTGTTGTGAAAAGAAAAATGATAAATTACTACGGAAGAAAAAAACACATAATTTTCATTGGCTTCCATTTCACCTTAACTTTCCGTAAGTTGTATTAAAGGCTATCTCAGTTTTAACTGAGTACAGAGGCATTCGTAAGTGTTTACTGGTGGATGTGGTGGTATGGTCAAGAATGTGTTTGCCTGTATGTCAGTCATATTAAATGAACAAGGAAGCGTGTTTGTGAAATACACATACAAACACAAGGTTCCATATCCTGTTGTGTTGCAAGAGAATCACAGCTGAATTCTATTCATGTCTTATATGTCTATGTTGAGCACATCTTTATGTAATATTATAATGACAATAAACATTTTGCCAAATTGACTGCTGGTCTTAAGAGGAAATGAGATGTGGTAATTCAGCTTGCTAGAGTATAAGGTCATTATCAAAGAACTTTTTAGTCGTAACAATATTTAACTGCCAAATGAAGACTATAAAAGATGAAACTGTCTCCTCCGTATTGACTTAAAAAGAAATATACAGCTTATGTCCCTTGAAGTTTGCTTTTTGTTCTTCTGTTCTTCATCTCTTTGTATATTTGCAGCTCATAATTTATATTCTGAAATATTTTACTATATGAAAAATCAGATATTCTGACAGTGCTAGAATTTAATAGGTCATAAACTAGATATAGAGAGGAAACTTTATAAATGTGAAATGAATATATTCCAAATAACAAATACACTATTTAAAATCAGTGGCAGAGGAGTGAGATTATACCCACAGTCCATTCTCCACATGGGGGCCAAAATGCAACTTTTAAAGTATAAATCAGATTATAACCTATCTTTATTAAAAATCATCCAGTGGTTTCCTCTTGCAATTAGATAAAGTCCTTTGTGTGTGTGTGTGTGTGTGAGTGATGGCTGGGGATAGAACCCAGGGCCTTATACGTAGAAGGCAAGTGTCCTAACACTGTGCTACACTCCTAACAGTAAGGGGACTTACTGTCTCATATAACAAGAGATGTGTGTGGAAGGGATGGCCTTCGGGGGGTTAATATAGCTAACACAGCTGTTCGATTTGTGATCATAGAACATCTGGTTCTGCAGCATATTGTCTAGCTCTCATTCTAGTTACCAGATGGCCAGTGARGCCCAGGCATCATTCTTTCATACCAGCATCCGATCTTCATAGGGAGGCTGAGGCAGGAGGATCTCAAGTTCAAAGCCAGCCTTAGCAATGTAGCAAGGCCCTAAGCAACTCAGTGAGACCCTGTCTTTAAATAAAATATTAAAAAAAGGGTTGGGGATGGGGCTCAGTGTTTAAGTGCCTGTAGGTTCAATCTTCAGTACCAAAAAAAAAAAAAAAAAAAGCCTACATATTATAGAATTCAATTAAATAAAGTGTCCCTGATGTCACATCTATGGAGACAGGGGGCAATCAGTTGCTCAGTGGTGGATGATAGGAGACATTCAGACTAACTGCTCATGGGTTTGGAGTTTCTTTTTGAAAGCAATGAAAATGTTTAAAAATTATCATGGTAAATAATGGTTGTACAACTCTGCAAATACACTAAAAAAATTGAATTGTGCACTTTAAATGGGTGAATTATAAGGTATGTAGAAAAATTTTCAAAGTTAAGAAATAAAGGCTAGCAACTCTGAACTTGATCAGGTTGAGAAATCTTTGTGGGAAAAAAAAAACTGTTCCACTTTTTATTTCTGGTAGTAGAATCCAGGATTTCCTCCACTGTCAAAAGCACTGAGTAAATTATTTCTGTGTATTAAGTTAGAGGGATGAATATTTAAAAGGTACTTTGTAATGAAACAGTGAAAATTTTAATAGCCATTTGAATGTAATGAACATGCTTTTCAATCAGCTTTATTGAAGTGTAATTTATATACAATAAAAGTATACCACTTGGTAGATTTTGATAAGTATCTACACCCTAGTGATCAATCATCCCTTTAATCCATTTTCCAAAATACTCCTTTGTGCCCCCCTGCGAAGTCAATGCCCTCCCCTGCCTCTGCCTCAAAGCAGCCACTATTATTAGTGTATTATAATTAAACTATACAGTGTAAAACTAGTTTATGTGAAATTTGTATGGCTAAAAGAAAAAATAATGATAATGTAAATTTCTATATATAAATAAAAAGATGAGAATGAAGTATTATTAATATGTGACTTAGAGCCAAGTGTTCATCATTTTATCTGTTTAACTGGAATAACAAAAGTATTGGTTAAAAAAAAAAAAGTTAAATGTAGTCACTAGAAAGTTCTGGTCTCAGAAACTCTAATGTGATATTTCTTTTATTGAGCTTTTGTTTTGGTTTTTAATAAACTCAGAAAAGACATGTATGTGAAAATCTAATTTTGAAGTTTAGAAGAATCTATAACGTGGGGATAGAAAAAAATTTAAATAAGGTAGAAAAATCTGTAAAGAACATGTTTGATAAATTTGTCCAAATTTCTTTTAAAACCTTGTTTAAGAGGTCACAGTAAATAGCAGTAGCTACTCATGGAAGGTTTACTGTGTATTGGCTCAGTGCTGCCTGGTATTTATGGGCTCTTAAGTATCTAGTAAATACACAAAGATACTTTGTATAAAATATACAAAGGGAGTGATTAAGAATGATACATACCAACTTAAGATAATTGTTACTACTGGAAAGGAAGGGAGGAGAGTGGAGAGGAGAAATTTAGCTCTTATCTGTGATATTGGTGGAAAGGCCTACTGGGCCAGAGTGTGTCCTCAGCCACATTCCAGCTGGTTACCTGTGCAGATTTCTGAATCTTTCTTTGTCTCAGTTTCCTCATCTGTGAAATGCTGGGTTTTGAGGATCAAATGAGCTAATACATTTAAAGCACTTAGAATAGTACCTGGCTCAATAAAGGCTGGAGATGTGGCTCAGGGGTAGAACACTGGCCCAGCACATGTGAGGCCCTGGGTTTGATCCCCAGTATCACAAAGGGGGGGATGGGCCTAATAAATCTTATCTATCATTTTTTTATTTTTCCTTTAACAATTGTACATAAACTATGTATGTGTACAGTAAACTTTGACTTAAATCTTACCACCGACGGCGCTGACCAGATGAGCTAGGTTCAAAAGAGCTGGCTGCAACATTAAGCTAAGAAAAGGTGAGAAGCACAGGACACTGACGTAATTTTCCCATCGAGGGCAGGACTGCTCTGCGACCTCAAGGGTCCTCTTGCACCCTGGAAGGCAAGAGAGCAAGTGTACCCAGAATTGCTTTATTTATAGGGAAAAGACAACAAAGGATTTTCTATAGAATATTCTACACCAAATAAGGCAGGGGATAAGGTTGCTCAAGGGGGGTTGCTCAATCCCATTGGGTAAGGCTCAAGTCCAGAGCTGAAGCAGACTTCTCTGTGCAGTGAAGGTGAAGGCCACTTGCTTCACACAGCGATGTCAGAACAACACCCCCTTTACTCAAGGCTCAGAGGGGATGCCTAGCTCACAGGCAGCGCAGCCCCCMACACTTAACTACTTTTTTTTAATGAAAAAAAATCTTGATTTGTAAAACTTATTTATTTTTAAAATCTTGATTTTTTTTTTTAATGAAAACATTTCACATTTTCATTATGGGGAAGCAAACACTAGATAATGTATCTCAAATTTAATGTTCAAATTCTTTTTATGTGTTTAAACTTATTTATTTTTGTGGTGCCAAGGATTGAACCCAGGGCCTTGTGCATGTTAGGCAGATGCTCTACCACTGAGCTGCAGTTCTGGCCCTAAATTCTCTCTTTGGATAAATGCTGATATACTTTATCAGACTTACCAAAAGCCAGTGCCGCAGACATAAGTTAAGATGTAGTTTCCTCCAGATGCAGGCTTGGTGTTCCTCTTATCAAGGATGGAGTTAAGCTACCAAAAACCTGACTCATCTTGTTGAGGCCACAGTAGTGAGATATCTGACTAATCACAAGCACAGGGGAGTGCTCAGTACTGTACCAGCAGAGTGTGTAGGTAAACAGTGGAATTTGTTTAAATATTTTAAGCCATTTGATGACCCAGTAGTTAAAGGCATCCAAGGAAAACTTGTCCCAAATCTCCCCATCTGTCACTGTGACAGTAGGAAGAGTGGGGAAAGTGAGATTTTTTTTTTTTTTTCAGGAACCCCTTAGTGTAAGAGTTGAGGTGAAGTTAGCATCCCAGAAAACAGAAATGTGCCCGGGCTGCCCTTTGGAAGGGGAAGGGACAGGAGTAAGCAAGGACAACCATCCATTTAGCCAGCCCTGATGGTCCTGTGAGTTGTGCAAAGTGATGTCCGCAAGCACTGGACGTTGACATTGTTGATGTTTTCGTTAAGGCAGCTAAGAATGGAGCGACAGGTGTGGAGCTGGACATTGAGTTCACCTCCGACGGGATTCCTGTCCTGATGCACGACAACACTGTGGATCGGACGACAGATGGAACTGGCCGATTGTGTGATTTGACGTTTGAACAAATTAGGAAACTTAACCCTGCAGCCAACCATAGACTTAGGTAAGTAATTTATTGTCACTTACTCTTCTGTCCTTTGTTGGAGAGCACAGCTAGACACTGGCACTTTCTAATTGCATCTTCTATTCAGGAGAGTTGTTTTGTTTTGAACTGTATTCAGGTTTCCCAAGCAATAAGCAGGCACCAGGAACAACAGAAATATGTCATGTATATTTTTAATCTTTCCCACTGAGGCCAAATTTGACCTTGGAATTACTCTCAAGATAATACTCAGTTTGGTCACTAACAACAGTTTGCACTGTGGCTTTAATCACAGAATCATGAGGCTGAAAGAAGTCGCTTGTCCGTCTCCTTGTCTCCAAGTGTACCAGGGAACAGATCGTGTGCTCTCCGACTTTCAAATGACATCCCTATTTGACCTAGCCCTTTAAACTCTTCAGATCCTTATAAGCAACCCCTGAGGTATCATAAAATTTAAGGTATAAAATGTATCCTAGAAATCATTCAAAATAGGGCTATTTAGAACTTTCTGCAAACAATGAAAGTATTCTCTATTGACTTTGTCCAGTATAGTAGCCACCTGTGGCTGCTACAGCTGAGAAACGAATTTTTCAATTAAATTTAAACTTAAAAGAGTCAGAGGTCTAGATTAATCCTGCTCTTAGAGATAATCCCAGAAAAGTTAAATGACTTACTCAAGGGCAAATAACTAATTCATAAAGAAGCCAAGACTAGAGTCTGCCTATCTCAATTTCCAGTCCAAGAAGAATCTGCCATACTGTGTCATTTCTGGTTGCCCCCCAGTTTCTCAACCCCATAAGGCTGAAAGTACTTTCAGATGTTTAATTTGATCCCCTCCTGTTACATTTAAGCTCATAGTTTCCAAAAGCACATATATCAGATCTAGTCCTGTAAGTTTCTACAAGTAAATAGCTCTGTGATCAAATAAACTACTATATTTGGAATATTCCTTGGGGGAGATGAACATCCACATCCTTCAATTATTAACTTCAGTGAAGCACTTCTTAAGTCACACAAGCCTGTAACCTTCCCTGTATTAACAATTTCACCTATCCTTAGAGTCGTAATACTGGGTAATTTACTTTAGAATGTGGTTATTTAAATTCCTCCTCTTGTCTTCTTTGTAGTAATGAAAAATGTATGCTTGCTGATTTGCATATAATACCAATTCTTGGAGGATGATCAATACTCCTTGAATATTGAGTATTTGATCTATCAACTGAGGAATTTATAGTATAGTCCTCCATAAAAGGTGATTCTGACCTTATTTTTCTAGGACCAGAAAGAAGCTAAAGGCAGCTAAAGAAAATCATAGTGTAAGCTGGAAAGAATATTGATCACATCTGAACATGCAGAATCCAGGCCACTAGAATTGCTCTTTACTGTCACCCAATATTTTATTGCTCTGCCATGTATAAGGGGAAGGGTGTTTTTAATAGTTCAACAACACTGAAGCTAATCAGATGTCAGTTTCAAAGCAAAAAATAGCTTAGGGTCAGCATCACCTTTAAAAGTCATTTAAGAAGGTATCACATCAAAGTCAATATACTATCTTGTTCTCTTCAACACAACCAATCTTGGATCCACAACTAGAGCAGGTTGCATTTTCTTTGACTCCAGATGAAATCATTAGCTTGTGGACCTCCAGGAAACACAGGTTTCTTCTCTAGAATCAAACTCAGTGTGGATGTCCTGAGAGGTGGGCGTGGAAACCAAGACCGGCCTAAGAAACAACAAATTCAAATCTATCTTTCTGAACTAGAGAGAGTTAAATTATGTAGAGTGAAATGAGAGGAAGAGCCAATTTCTTATATGTGGGGCTCTTAATCTTAATTTTCTGTATCAGAAAATCATGTATTACAAAATTATTTTAAACAGTTTCAGTTGACTAAATGTAAGTAGTATAGTTAATAGATTTATGTATTTTCAGGAATTTCTTCTGCATAAGGTTCTATTAGGGAGATTTACTTAAAATTAAATCCCTGAGCTCTCCTTTGATAAGTAGAGTTACAGTAGAAATTTAGTGTTTCCTAAATATTAAATAATTTTTGTTGCTGTTATTTGATCAAGAATATCTGAAACTTGGTTCAGGTACCTGCAGTGAACCACCCTTGGCTCTGGGGTTGTCGGCAAGGGGAAGCTGGGGAGGGGGGCGCTCTTTCCTTTTGTTTGAGAGACACTTGCAAAATGGCTGTTCCTCTCCTTCTCTTCCTGCAATGCTCGATCCTCTTCCCTCTCTCTCAGGAATGATTTCCCTAATGAAAAGATCCCTACCTTGAGGGAAGCMGTGGCCGAGTGCCTGCACTACAACCTCACAATCTTCTTTGATGTCAAAGGCCATGCAAGTATGGTATGTTTATTCATGGACTTTTCCTTGTTAAAAACACAGTTAAGGGGCTGGGATTGTGGCTCAGCGGTAGAGCGCTCGCCTAGCATGCGCGGGGCCCTGGGTTCGATCCTCAGCACCACATAAAAATAAGTGAATAGAATAAAGGTATTGTGTCCAACTACAACTAAAAAAAATAAATATTAAAAAAAAACAGTTAATTGCTAGGCATTTCCAAAATTAGCTATTTATTTTGTTATTCTTTTTTCTCATTTTTTACAAATTATATTTGCTTAATGGAAATAAACTCCTGAGTTTAAAGCTTATGGTAGCTAACAGAATACATTCCTTTTACATAGATGTGTCCCTCCATCATTTCTGTTGTGTACAGTTGACAAAACTGTAATGTTTTGTCAAAACTGAAATGATACAGAGGGACACGTATTCTGTTAGCTACCATAAGCTTTTTTTAGTTGTAGTTGGACACAATACCTTTATTCTGAATCTTTCAGAAAATTACCACATTTTCTTCAAATGTGTATGACATTCCTAAATAAAATTTTTTTATAATTAGAAAATATATGCTTCTACTCAAAAAATATATTGCAATAGAAATCGATGAAAATATGATTCTAATTACATTTGTTCTCAACCAACTTTTCAAATATATATACTTTTTCCCCATTTCAGCAACTTGAGTATTTTTCCCTTAGCAATATTTATAATCAGTAATGGTCATCAACTGATGTAGAGTTCTGATTATGCAAAAAAAAAAWTTTTTCTAGTCTCAGGAAATAAACTAGGTATTAAAGCCTGAAATATGAGCAAAGGTGTAGATTACAGTAAACTCCTATTTTTGAAGAAAAAGGAAAGTGTTATAACTAATTTACTATTCTGATAAACTTATACTTGTGTATGTCCAAGTTTCCGAGTTGATCTGTGTCAGGATCAGCTTGAATACCTATTGAAAAATAGACTGGGCCACCCAGTSTACAGAAGGGATTCTGAAAGTGTCTTGTGTGGAATTGGGAAAGTCTTTTTTTGGCGATGGGGGTTGAATGCCGGGCCTCCCACATGCTAAGCATGCTCGCCCTCAACCTCAAGGAACATGTGTCTTTAATGAGCACATCAGGCTTTATTTATGGTGTTGTCCACATTTGGCAATCTAGTAGGTCCCACATTTTAGCCAGAGTGAACTTATCACCATGCTTATTCTCTGACAATAATAGAAAATAAATAATTGAAAATTAAGAAGAAAATTTTAGAAAAACATCCACCTACTTGAGTTTTCTGGAAGGGTGCTCACAGGTGTTCACCAGGACTGGTTAGAACACAGTGATCTCGATCACCAAATTGGTAGGAAGTTGCTACTGGTGAAACCTAGTAGCCTAGATCATGACTTTGGGGTCCTGTAGCAAGCTGTGTACTTGCTACAGGGTAACTTCAACCTTGACAGCTTCAGTTTCCTCATGAACAAATGGGAATAATAAAAGAAACTACGTATAGGGTTGGAGAGAGCAGTCAATGAGTAGAGTAGGCAAAGAGCGTGTGTTAGTTCAGAGCAGGAGACCAACTCTGGTCCTGCAGCTCGCGCTTGGGTTCGTTAGTGAGGGAGAGGCATGATGTGAAAGAGCATACTTTTTTCTTCATTTTGAGGGGAAGACATTTGTTGCTTATAGTCCCTGTGGCTGTGTGCCACATTCCAGAAATCAGCAGGATGTAGCATTGTGATGCAGCAGCCGTTCCCGTGAGCCTGGTGGACCCTGGTCATGTCAGCTACCCTTGTAACCCTAGGGGCTACGTGATGTCAGTATCCAAATTCTATCCTTTCTTTCCCATTTAATAGCTAGATTACCACAAAAAGAAGTTTATTTTTTTTTAAACCTCTGCTGTTTAGGGGGGTTGGAATACCTCCATGTGTTCCCAGTCCCCCCTCATCCCTCCATAGTGGTGATGGGTGACAGGTCCTCTCAGCCCCCTGACTGAGCAGATCTACTCTCTGTAGTTCCCAGCCTGTTGGCTCAGACTTCATCTAGAARAGACAGAGGGCGCTAAATTGTGGGCGTAAAAGGGCTGTTCCTAGCTGGGCGCACTAGCACACACCTGTAATCCCAGCGACTCTGGAGGCTGAGACAGGAGGGTCGCGAGTTCAAAGCCAGCCTCAGCAAAGGCAAGGCACTCAGCAACTCAGTGAGACCCTGTCTCTAAATAAAATCCAAAATAGGGATGGGGGTGTGGCTTAGTGGAGTGCCCCGAGTTCAATCCCTGGTACCCACCCCCCTCTCCCCCCAAAAAGGGACTGTTTCTAGTACTGAAAACAGGGTACAAGGAAAGAATTTTAAAAATTTGATTCCACCCTCTAGCCTCCAACCTGCCACCTTCCAAAACATGACACAGAGGCGAGCCTCCCACCCAGAGGGAGAGCAGCCGCCCTGGCTGCTTCCTGGTCTGACTGGTGTGCGTTTGTTTGCGTGGGRAGCAGAAGCAACCAGCACTTTGAGCATCTCCATTTGATATTGGCAGACTCCTCGTTTATGCAGCAGGGCTGTGCTTTACACGTCGATGGTGATTGACTGGGCTGTCACATTTGAATAGATTTTAAATATATGAATCTCTCTATTTTACAGGCCACTGATGCTCTAAAGAAAATATATATGGAATATCCACAACTGTATAATAATAGTATGGTCTCCTCATTCTTGCCAGAAGTTATCTATAAGGTAAAATTCCGAGTTGTTCTTGTTCGTAGCGTGCGTTAGTGCATTRTCCAGCAATCAGAGAAGAGCCTGGGCTGGTGCAAGCCATCATCAGCATGCCCAGGGCTTCCAGCTGTTGGGAACACTGTTCCCAAACTTCCTTGGTCACAGAGGCCTTTAAACTGTCTGAGGCATTCTGCAGAGGAGCCRGAGAGCACAGGGGAAGGCCTCCACCCACTGTCCTTCCCGCTTCGCTCCCCCATTCACTCCTCACAACCCCTTTCTCCTCACACCTTCTCACCTCCCCACAGCTCTTCTCAGGAGAAAGGATCAGAGCTAATGGACCATGGGTCCATCCTAATTGAGTTCTGATTATCTCTGGCCAGAAATGAGAGTCAGGAATCTATTAAAAGCTTATTTTTGTGACCTTCTGAATATTTATCCTGCCATTGTGATTTTTCATGGTAAAGGTAGGATTACGGTTCTTTGTGAAAGGGCTCTTGTGTATTCTACACGTCCAGTGCGTACATTTACGTGCATTTCCTCAAAGGGTTTATGACAGAGAACTTAGAAAGTGGACAGGCTACCTTGGCCACCTCATCAGAATGAGAACTTTGGCTAAATTTAAACTGAGAAGTTTTAGACTTAAGACATAATTATTTTATTTTACGAAATTCATTTCAGATGAGACAAACGGATCAGAATGTAATAACAGCTTTAACTCACAGACCTTGGAGCCTGAGCCACACAGAGGATGGGAAACCACGCTACAGTGGTGTCTTTAAGCAGTTCCTGTTTGTAGTAATGGACATTTTGCTCGATTGGAGCATGCATAACATCCTGTGGTACCTGTGTGGGATTTCCGCTTTCCTCATGCAGAAGGATTTTGTATCCCCGTAAGTTGGGAAGCTTTTTATCTTCTCCTGACACATTTCCTGAATGCTCTTTCTGGGATGGAAGGATTAAGGAAGTGGACATCCTGGATTGGTTGGGACCCACCAGGCCACTGTATCTCTGTGAAACTGGGAGGCCACCAGCTCCACGGGAGGGAAAAGTTCAGGTATATCTCACTCATCCAAAACGGGTCGAGCTGGACATGGTGGCGCAGGCCTGTAACCCCAGCATTCAGGAGGCTGAGGCAGGAGGATCACAAGTTCAAAGCCAACCTCAGCAACTTAGTAAGGCCCTAGGCAACTTAGCAAAACCTTTTCTCAAAATTATAAATAGGAAGTTCTGGATGTAGCTCAGTGGTAAAGTGTCTCTGAGTTCAATCTCTGCCATGCCCCCCCCCAAAAAAAAAGGTTGACCAGATATTCATGGCTTTTTAGCGCATCTCAAAGAAAAAAGTGAAAATTGTGATAAAAGAGGGATTGCGTGTTTTCTGAATTGGCTCCCTGTTAAAATGAATCCAGGATCCAGGGCAGAGCCATAGCAAAGACATCCTGTGAGTCCCAGCCCTATTCCTCCTTTCAGGTTCTTGCAGGCTCCCTCAAACCCTATAGGCTCCACCCCATCTCTGCCAAGAGACCTTACCTAAACAGCCAGCAGTCTCAGAATCTTTCTTCTGGCAGTTTTCAAGCTGTGTCTTTCCTAATTAGAGTTGTAAGTGTCATGTGGTTTGAAGCATGCAGTGTTCAGTCAATATGTGGTTATTGCCTGGAGTATTACAAGGAGCTCTGTTAAGAAGCTGAAGACACAGTGAAGAAACAAAGCCCTGGTCTCTTATTAACAACAAGCTGGGGCTGGGGCTGGGGCTCAGCGGTAGCGCACTCGCCTGGCATGCACAAGGCGCTGGGTTCGATGATCCTCAACACCACATAAATGTAAAATAAAGATATTGTGTCCACCTAAAACTAAAACCCCAACAAGCTGGCATGCTGGAGGGTGGATGGTTACACCTGTGTCCACCTCCCATGGAGCCTCTGAGGGATTTACACAGGGTCTTTGTGGGGTTGTTATCTTGGTCTCGGGCAGGTGGGTGCTGGGGGAAACTTGCTATTTGAAGGTCTGCTGCCTGGTTTTCATCAAAGCCAGTCTCTGCTTTATCTCTTTCTTTTTTTGGTAGGGAGTGGCTCCAGGGATTGAACTCAGGGGCGCTTAACCATTGAGCCATGTCCCTGGCCCTATTTTGTATTTTATTTAGAGACAGGGTCTCACTGAGTTGCTTAGCGCCTTGCTGTTGCTGGGTCTGGCTTTGAACTCGCGATCMTCCTGCCTCAGCCTCCCAAGCCAGCTTTATCTTTTTTTTGACCGTTACCTTTTTCACTGTGACCTTTCCACAGAGAAAAGTCCATGCATTTTAAATAATTCTATAGTTAGTCAAATGTTTTTAAAAATATTTAAAAGAGAGTGGGGTGGAAACAAAGTTATGTTCACAAAACGAAAAGAAGAAAGGAAGGAGGGAAAGCTTCTATCTSAGGGTGCAGCCTGGCTAAGCTAAATGCTGCTGGGTGAGAGGGGACTGGGCAGGAGAAGCACGGTCTTTCCAGGAACTGAGAGGGAAGCAATATTTTGCAATACAGAAAAGACAGGCAGGGTGGCATGAGGTGAGGCAGGGACCACGCCCCATCTGGCCTGCGGTGGCTGTGTCRAGAGCATTTGTTGGGAAGGGGGAGTCATCAGTGGGCCCCTGTAGCGGTGGAAGTGCAGAGCCAGCCGGCAGTTCTTTCTGGGCACTGTTTGCACTCAATGAATGGCTAACAGGATTGGTTTTTCTTGTTCTTCAGGGACTATTTGAGGAAGTGGTCAGCTAAAGGAATCCAGGTTGTTGGTTGGACTGTCAATACCTTTGATGAAAAAAATTACTACGAATCCCACCTTGGTTCCAGCTACATCACCGACAGCATGTTGGAAGACTGTCCCCCGCAGGTCTAGACTTTTATCCTGGGGAAACACAGGTTCAGAAACTGCCTGTCGGCCTCATGCAGGGAGATCCAAAAACCCTTTGTGCTAGCCCAAGCCCTGGGGGATCAGGTGGCCAAGCAACAGGGCAAGCAATAGTGGGTGATTACATATTTACCTGAACAAATTAAACCCTGGTGTTGCCATGCTCCATGGAATGCCCAAGTTCAACACTGTCGCTCTTGAAAATCTGGATCTGAAAAAAGGCACAGCAGCCCCGCCCCGACCCAGCTGAGACCCACACCCAGACCCAGTGAGGATAAGCACAAGACGAGTTGTGCGGTCGGGATTCAGACGTAGTGCATGGGACTTGCATGATCACTTGGAGTTGACATTTTAAAACTTGCCACATCTAAGTAATTGACTTACTTGAAATATTTGTATTCAGCTCTGTTAACAGTGTGCTCTAGATGTCAAACTTGTGACCATACTAATAAAGTCATTAAAAGGAGCACAAGAGGAAAACTGTGTAGCCAGCATCACATTCTGAGGCCCTAAGGAACTTGGGGAAGCCGCTCAGGTGAGGCTTCAGTGTGCAGCAGCCACAGGGAGAGAAGCCTTGGAAGCAACGGGAGGAATCTGACAGCGTCTTGAATGAGAGCTGCAAACCACCAGGGGGCAGAGGTGAGCTGTGGAGGTGCAGGAGGCAGCTCCCAGGAACCTCTAGGCTTATCCGTATTTTACAAATGAAAATACCAAAATTTGTGCACAAGGAGGGCAGCCTCAGAACCTCACAGCTGGTGATGTAGCCGAGATCCATCTCATGATAACCGAAATTTCTTGTTTATTATAGGCCAGGAACAGTGCCAGGGTTTTAACATGCCTGACGTTGAACCCTCACAAAGATTATAGAAGTGTTATTATTCTCATTTTACTGATGAGGAAACTGGGGCACTTTCCCAAGGTCTCCGAGTCCACAGTTCAGTTGGGGGTTCAAATCCAGGGAGGTCTGACTCTAGGTCACAGCTCTTTCCCACAAGAATATCCAGGGATGTGAATAAACAATGAAGGCATTAATAAGTACTGCTAAACACTTCCTTGGCAGGCTGTATTTAATACAGAGTTAAAAAATAAAATTTATGATCAGAGAAAGCCAAGTCTGATGTGGGGCAGGTTAATTCATCTGTAACATAGGGGGGTAGTATGTAGAGTACCTCCTCATGATTAAATGAGTGCATGTAAATGCTTGTTAATTACCACTGACTGCCTACCATGTATTGGATCTGTTTCAAGTGTTTCCTGTGTATTTACTCTTGGCAACGAAACTGACCTGCAGGTATCACTGTAATCACATTTCACAGTAAAAGAAACCAGAGCACAGGGAAGTTCAGTAACTTGCCTAAAGTCACAGAGAGCAGTGATGAATATCAGGACTCAAACCCAGATGATCTAATTCCAGAAATCACTTTTTTTTTTTTTTGAGACAGGGTCTAAGTTGCTTAGGGTCTCACGAAGTTGCTGAGGTTGGCTTTGAACTTGTGATCCTCCTGTCTCAGCCTCCCAAATGGCTGGGGTTACGGGCATGTGCCACTGCACCTGGCCAGAGCTCACATTCTTACCCCTTGTTTATTATCATCTCTGGCTCATAGCAGGGACTCAATACTGAGAAATATCTTAAATCATTGCCAGCACCTCTTATAGGGTCAGTCATATAATAAATGCTCAATAAATGTTTGTTGAAGGAATGCGTTATGGAATATATCCAAGTGGAAGCTTCCTCAGGGAAACTGGGAATAGTTAGACAAAAATTCAGGGTTGTAGATAAGATTCATGGTTCAGTATAATCAAGGAGGGGCCGGCCAAAAACATGGTAGTATTCTTTCCAAGAGAAAATCAATGCAGGTGAAGCTCACATCCTCTGCTGCTCATTGGGCTGCCTGGTAAGCCCCAGGAGGCTGCAGAAGTAGCTAACAAAAACAGCAGCTTGTGAAATCTACTACTTCATTGTATAGTAATCATATTCGTATGTGGTGATTGGTATCTGCAATTTTTTCAGCAAGAATTTGTCCCACACAGATGTATTTTTAACAGATACAATTTCTCAGTGAAGCTACACCTACCAGTTTCCTAAATTGGGAATGGGCTTCAACAAGATGGTAAACCAGAGCTTCGAGGACAGGGTGTGGGTGATGGATATGCTCCAAACAACCACTGAGACCCTTGCTCACAGACACCGATGATCACGTCTGGGTGAGGTTATAGGACTTCTTTGGTCAAAGTTACTGAAGATTAGTGACCTCATTTCTTCTACTCAAAATTTAATAGTACAACACTGAAGAGGTTGGGAATCAGCTGGGATAAAGTATTCGATGTTGGTTGGTGGGCGGGGGGTTGTTAGAAATTCRAATCCTCAAATCCAGCCCAGCATCAGAAACTCTGCTTGTGGCCTGGTGGTTAGTGTTTTAGTAAGCTTCTCTCCCAGGGTCCCTCAAGTCTGGGAACCATGGAGCTAGAGAAACCCATCCAAGCGAGTCCTCCATTCTGTCACTAACTCGCTGTGAGACCTTAGACACGGCACTTCCCCGTGTGTGTGCCCAAGTTCTCATCTGTCAAATGCTAATCACAGCCCTGGCCCGTTGCAGAAGTGTTTTTGAAAAACATGTTGGCAGAACATGACTGCTAGGAAGATAAAGAAAAAAAAAAGAGCGAGGTCCTCAGACCCCCAGCACTTGTTAGAGATGCAGACTCCGACCCCATCCCTAACCTCACAGATTAGGACCTGCCTGAGAATGAGGTCCCCAAGTTGGAAAACACACACTGGTGTTTTGGAGGAACCCTGACACAATACGGGTGTAAGGCATTACTTTTTGATACAGGGGATTTAACCCAGGGGTGCTTTACCACTGAGCTACATCCCCAGTCCTTTTTAAAAATTTATTTATTTATAGGCAGGGTCTCACTAAATTGCTGAGGCTGGACTTGAACTTGCAATCCTCCTTGCCTTGGCCTCCTGAGTCACTGGGATTATAGGCATGAGCCATGTGCCAGCTAAGGCGCTAGTCATAATTCAGAACTTTTGTGTCCACACCTGAGCACCTGTCTTTGGTTCTCTCTAGCAGTTGGGTCAGATGTAAATGCTATGGAAAAGTCCCAATTTTTAAAAATTAGGGAGGTACTCTTAAATGCTGCCAATACTAAAAGATCGTGCCTGTCAATGAGCTTAATTCCTTTTTCTAAGATATCATCCATCTTTTTTTAAGCACTGGCCTTCCCTTTTGAAGGAAATGATACAATTTCAAATTGCTTCAAACTGGAACTTCCTTCTCAAGAAGTGGCATAAGAACGTAACGTTGATTTGGCATGAGCTTAATTCTTAACACTTGCCATCAATTCAAAGATTATAAAAACCTATGCAAGTTGTTTGCTACTTCAGTCACTCCTCATAATTGAACTTCACACACGATGTCTCTTTGCCTCATAAGAAATGAACTGGTTTTCACGGCAGCCACTTGAAGGATCAGATCCTGCATAAACTCAAAAGAAGCTCTCCCTATTCATCCTAAAAACCACAGAGGTTCTCTAATTAAATGGCCACAGAAAAAGCTCTATGATTAGAATCAAGCACCCCTACAAAGTCCCATGTATTGAAGGCTTGGTCTGTAGTTCATGGTGCTATTGGTCTTCCCCCCACCCCCCAGAGGGGAGCGGGTACCAGGGATTGAACTCACGAGCCCTCCACCACTGAGCCACATCCCCAGACCTATTTTGTATTTAGAGACAAGGTCTCCCTGAGTTGCTTAGCGCCTCACTTTGCTGGGTCTGGCTTTGAACTCATGATCCTCCTGCCTCAGCCTCCCAAGCCACTGGGATTATAGGCATGTGCTACCGCACCTGGCCCATGGTACTATTAAAAAGTGGAGGTGAGGCCTAGTGAACCCTTCAGTTTTATTTTTAATTTTTTTAAACATTCTTCTAGTTGATAGATCTTTATTTTATTCATTTATACACAGTAAGTGCCTCACACATACCAGACAAGTACACTACTGCTGAGCCCCAGCCCCAGCCCAGAACCCCTCGGTTTTAAGAACAATCAAAGAGGTTCTCCTTGTCAATCATTTGGCAAATCTAAAAAAAAAAAAAAAAAAAAAAATCATCATTCACATACATTCATTTCATATGCGCACACATGCACCCTACACCACCACTAATTTTATGATTGGTGCAGCCTAAGATTCTGATGATCATGTGTAAAACCTTAGGGGGCAACTTTTCTCCCCTACCTTTCCTACCCTCGTCTAACCCCAAAGCTCTTGTACTTGATATGAAATAAAGTTTCAGAGATAAGACTTCATTGCACCTTTGGGTCACATGGGGGATGTTTTAATTCTAAATCACCAACAAATGCAAGTTACACAATTCAGACCCTTTGTATCCCTGATTGAGTATCACGTTTTTATTCAATCTGGGCCACTTTTCTTAGCACCAGTTTGTAAACCTTTGCCAGGTCCTGGGAACTCTGGGAAGAGAGATTCCTAAGGACCAATCGTTCAAACAAACAAACAAAAATTCTTGGAGACAAAATGGACTATTCCCAGATTATCTCTAACCATGGTTTTGTGGGGTCATTTTAATATCACAACAGTCTTTACTGGGAAATCCTGGAGCAGGCCATCTTCAAAAATCAGCAGTTGGGTTTCAAAAGTAGCAGAGGCGGCCCAATTTGACTTTGGCATTTACACTGAAGGTCAGTTCCGGTTCCTGCTTAAGGTGTGGCTTCCTCTTCCTAGAGGCCCAGGTATCATGGAAGAAGTGTTCCCCCTTTTATCTTCTTTCTTCATCTGATGGGTGTCTCTTTAGGAGGATCCTCACACCTTTCGATTATCTTCTTGAAAGGATCGCCTGAATCGCAGGTCTGCGGTGGACACAGGAGAGAGGGGTCAGTGCAAACCCACACCGCCCTGTCTCTGTAAGGGAGTGACCAGATGGATCTCAGGCCTCCTTGATCTCCCCCCTTTTACTTTCTGGAATCCTCCCTTGAATTCCCGCCATGCTGTCTCAGTAAACGCTATCCACAAAAGACAAAAGGGTTGGTTTGTCCCCCGCCCCCCCCCCAGCATTTGTTCCCCTTCTGACATCAACCCCAGATCTTCCTTGGGAAGTCACCCCTCCCTCTCTCAGTGCCTGTCATCTCTATGGCTGTACCCACAGCTGCAGCATGTCACTCAGATCTGACCAAGGAAACCGCCACATCTTCAAAGCCACAGCGATCGGCTCATGGATGGGCGAACTGCCCCAGCAGATCCAATGAAATGCCAGGAAAATTCCAGGTCCCCTGCTCTTTCCCACTAGACTGAACCCAAGGAGATACGAGGGGTTGATAAAAAAAGGTTTTGCAATTATCAGGAGGAGACTATTTGCAAAACAAACTAACATGGAAAAGAACCCCAGAGAGGAACCAGGTTCTGGTGACGTTGCAAACTCCTGTCTTAGGACACACAGAAAACAAGAATT